TACCTATCCACTCTTGGGGGAAAGTATGTGTATGAGGCTTATGATAAGATCAAGACAAGATGAGGCCGGGCCCGGTGGCTCAAGCCTGTAATCCCAGCACTTTGGGAGGCCGAGGCGGGTGGATCACGAGGTCAAGAGATCGAGACCGTCCCGGTCAACGTGGTGAAACCCCGTCTCTACTAAAAATACAAAAAAATTAGCTGGGCATGGTGGTGTGTGCCTGTAATCCCAGCTACTCAGGAGGCTGAGGCAGGAGAATTGCCTGAACCCAGGAGGCGGAGGTTGCAGTGAGCCGAGATCGCGCCATTGCACTCCAGCAGCCTGGGTAACAGCGAAACTCCATCTCAAAAAAAAAAAAAAAAAAGACAAGATGAAACCAGAAATTCTTGATGTGAATGACAACAAAACCTATTTTTTAATTCGTATCTCAGAAGTAGAGAAAACCTTGGATGAAGAAAGCTAACGTCCTGACACTATTATTTTCTTTTCTGAGACAAGGTCTTGCATTGTCACCCAAGCTGGAGTGCAGTGGTGCTGAGCTTACTGCAGCCTCTTTCTCCCAGGCTCAAGCTATCCTCCCATCTCAGCCTCCCAAGTAGCCAGCCAGGAGTACAGGCATGCACCACGATGCCCTAATTTTTGTTGTTTTCTAGAGAGAGTGTCTCATCATGCTGTCCAGGCTCTACACCCAAGTGATCCTCCACCTTGGCCTCCCAAAGTGCTAGGATTACAGGCATGATCCATTGTGTTCCACCACACCTAGCTGACACCATTATCTTTTTTTTTTCTTTTCTTTTCTTTTTTTTGAGATGGAGTCTTGCTCTGCCACCTAGGCTGAAATGCAGCAGCACAATCTTGGCTCACTGCAACCTCCACTTCCTGGGTTCAAGCAATTCTCCTGCCTCAGCCTCCCAAGTAGCTGGGATTACAGCTAATTTTTGTATTTTTAGTAGAGACAGTGTTTTACCATGTTGGCCAGGCTGGTCTCAAACTTCTGACCTCAAGTGATCTTCCCACCTTGGCCTCCCAAAGTGCTGGGATTACAGGCATGAGCCACCACACCTGGCCTGTCTTAAATTCTAAAATGATTAACAAGAAAAGTTTAGGTGGCACCTAACTATCATGCTAAGACTGTAATTGAGAAGCACTGTATCCTCCACCTGTATTAGGACACAGATTTGCAGTCACGTACCCACCTAGGATCACTGCATGGCCCTTCCTCCTGCCTTTCTGTACCTCTTATGCTTGGGTTTTGGTTTTGACCTTGGAATTTGAAAGTTGCTTAGAGCCATCACTCCTGTTTTCCCTATGTTCCCATCTCATGGAGTTCAGCCTGTCCTGCCATTCTGGAGCTGGACTCTGAGTGGAAGGGGGCTGTTATCTCCCTCATAGCCCCATGTGCAACACAGTCAAACTAACTCCTACTTTGCCTCAACAATTTTTTCACCTGGCACTTTTACATGGCATCTCTCCAAGCTGGTATGCTTACAGATTCTCCCAGAGCATAACCTTACAGGTTCTGACTTGGACTCATGTTTGTGTCGAGATGTGTAGGTGAATGATGATCAAGAACCAGAGGACATGTACGAAGATGAAGATGACGAGAACAGTGAGAATAACTGGCGCAATGAGTACCCAGAGGAGGAGAGCAGTGATGGAGATGAGGATTCCAGAGGTGAGTGGCAGCTCTGGAAAGGGAGGGACTGGTAAGATCCGAGACTGAGGTGCAGACATGGTTGTCAGGTGCATCTTAACTGCCTTTCCTTCTCTGCCATTGAGCTCCAACAGCCCAACCGCAACTCATGCTGTAGGAGGCCCAAAGACCAGTCAGTGTTACCCATGGGCCTCCTGGGGGTATAATAATCCTAATAATCCTAATAATCCATCAGGCCTGGGTTCAAATCTGTAGTTGTCATTACTTTGCTTGGGTCTTGGGCAGTTACTTCACCTCACTGAGCCTCATTCTCTCTTGAGATGAGATGGTACTGCATGAATTTTAGTGGTTGAGATTATGTACAATATGTAGCTCATTGTCTCTTTCCCTGCTCCAGTCAAGAAACCAATGAAGAGAGAGGTTTGCCAGTAGAAGTGAGCCCAGCGTTTTCACAAATCAGTTATCTAACTTCTCAAAAAACTGCTGCATGTACAGCTGTTGTAAGAAAGACATAGTACCTGGGGGAAGAAGAAAGATGCCCTGACAACACAGCTCCTGTGATACCTGTGTCAGAAGAAGACAGAAGGGCTAACAAAAATAATGTATTAGTTTCTGATAACAGAGAAATTACTCAAACAATTGAATATTCGATTGGGGAGGTTTGTCAATAATATGTTAAGAGGGGAAAGTACAAAAATATTTACAATACGACTACAAATCTTACAACAACAAAAAAATCCTATACTGAGGGGAGAAGTGATGAAATACTCCAGTATGAAGGGACTTGGTTTAGATGATAAGAAAGTAAGTGCTTTAAAAAAAAAATTCTATAGTCTTTATTTTCTTTATTGAGCAAGTAGTTTGTATTACAATTGGGAACAAAGACAGACCTTTCTGAGAAGAGAAGGGGCTCCTGTGGTAGCCAAGGAAAATCACATTTAGATTCCATTCCCGGGATCTCATTCCAGGCTCTGCTGACTACAACAGCCTGAGTGATGAGGAAAGAGGCAGCAGCAGACAGCGGATGTGGCACAAGTACCCTCTGGATGTTCAGAAGGAGTTCGACTATGACAACCTCCATGACCTGGATTCAGACTGATGGTCTTGTGATTGATGTCCATGAAGTTCTGCCACAATCCCGTGAGGGCTCTGAGTCCAGGGTAAACTGCCCTGCTGACATCCTCTTAGGTTTCCTAGCTTAACATGTGGAAGAAAAGCATATCAAGCATGTTGGGTGGCACCATCCCAACACAGTGAAAACTTTTGTTAAGGGAGTGAGTCTTTTCCACTTACAGTAGGGCCCCTTTGCCTCATCAAAAGTAACCCTACAGTTTGAAAGAAAAAAAAATGTTATAAAAAGGAAGGTTTCTTTAGCTTCTTGGCCCAGGCATTTTCCTGGAATTCAGGTCATGCTCTCCTGGTGCTGAAACCACAAGGGAAAGAGAGGGTCCCATTTCATTAGCAGTAAGTTTCTGCCTTGCCAAACCACCAGGCTACCTGCCTCTAAGAAGACCCTGTTCCTTTGGATAGATGGCATCTAAGAGGGGTACCAGTGGGTCTCTTGTAGCAATACAGACTGGATAGTAATGGCCATTAGGGCAGAAAGTAGTCTGTCTGAGCTGTGGGATATATTATATACCAACTATCTCTGCTTCCAAACTCTGATAATGGTTGTGAAATTGCTGACTTCCTTTGGCAGTGGTGCCAAGAAACAGCATATGTATGAATGTGATACATGTGTTTAGTAAACGCTTTGAACATGGAAGAAAGTAATTATTTTAAAACCTGTTAAATCTGAATATCTAAAACAGGGAGGGAGGGGTAGTGAGATAGAAGTTTCAGCATTGATTATAGATACTAAGGACTTAAGGGAGGAAAAACAAAGCACTTTTTGAACTCAGCTTTCCACTGAGTAATGTTTACTCTTCACAGCACTCACCAGGAACACGAACTACTATCAACAGGGTCAATTTTGTTACACCTGTATCTCTTCTAAGCAAACTCTGTCCCTATGCCTTTCCAAACCACAGCTGCGTTCACTGACTGCCTTGGTGTTTATTCCAGCGTAGAACTATCTGTGGTGACAATATGTCCTGTGTCTGCACTGTGTAGTAGCAGACACAGGTGGCTACTGAGCACTTGAAATGTGTTAGCGCAACTGAGAAACTGGGCTTTTAGTTTCATTTCATTTTAATGTAATTAGCTGCATGCGGCTAGTAGCTGTTGTAGCGGGACAGCACAGGTCTAAGGAAACAACGCAGAACATTCAGTTAGGGGTATGCCCTCATAGCCTGTGACAGTATCTCTGACTCACTATCATGGGGGAAGGTGAGTTACACAGGGAGATGCCTTCTTGCCACCTCTTTTAAGATTTCCTAAGTATCTCTCCTCCCTCCTACCTGCTATCATTCTTTGACTTAATGTCCATTTCCTAAGCCTTTACCTATGCTAGTTCTTACCTACATGGAGTTGTTAAACCTGCCAAAGTGATTAAATTCTGTGTACTCAGGCCCTATATATTTCTAACTCATTAAAACAAACATCCTAGGTATGCACAAAGGAGTAATTCAACATTATAACAGGCAGCAACTTGTATGTCTCATATTAGACATCTTGCTTTCTGTCTGTAGGCATAGAAACAAAGGATTGAAAACCATTCTTACACTCACAGCAACGAGGTGAAAAAAAAAAAAAAGACTGCCATTACAATGTGCTCACTGCCATTTATGGACTCATTAAGTTTTACCAACATTAAAGGGCCGGCAACTTAATAAACTGTACTCACTGCAAAAGGGATAAGCACACCAGGAGAAGGATTTAAGGAGACAGACAACAAAGAGCTGGCAGAAATTAATTCCACCATGAAGTTCGAGTGCTGTAGGGAGTCTCTGGCTTCACTCCCAAAAAGAGGATCCTGAGATAAGTCTGTGTCCAGCACAGAGGGGAAGAATGCTGTCACCATCCAAAAATGAAAGGAGGATGACATGGCTCACTAAGCAAGTACTAGGGCACCTGGCGTGTAAGTTCCTTGCTTTTCCTAGAAGCCTCTGGGGGGCAGCAAATTCCTGGGATTAGCTGGTTATCTCATGGAGAACGCCAAAGCCAGGGTCGGGGATCTTTAAGGCAGGCACACTTTGCTTAAAGGATTAGCTCCAGAGGAGTCCCGTGATGGGTGCCAGCTTGGCTCAGACAGAAGTCATGTTCTTAGAGTTTAGGCAAGTCAGCCTTTGCACAAGACACCCTGTCACCAGGCAAGAATTTGCTGTACAAATCCTGAACCCATGACAGTAAGAATGTCACCCCATGCTTCACATAAGCATTATGCTCTGAACCCAAGGCAACTGTGACCATGCTTCCTTCAATCTTTATTGAGCAAATATATGTCCAAGGTTATTCCCTTATCTGTGACTGGGTGGAGAAGAATGGTCAGAAAGGGAGACTGCCTCACTGTTGACCAATTCTAAAACTTAAGGATAAGAAGCCCATGAGGTGTGTCAAGCTAGCAGGTTCTTCTGGGCCCAGGATGACAGTGTCTGGCAGCATCACAAAACAGTTGTACAATCCATTGCAGCTGTACTGCTCATAGAGTAAGATCTATTAGGCCAGAGCAGGCCTGACTTGGGTGGAGAGCCCAGCCTGAGCACCAGAATTAGTTGCCTGCACTTGTGCAGCCTGCTGAGGAGCCGGACTGAGGTTGAAGCAGCTTTCCTCCCAGTCTTCACTGATCTCCACAGGGAGAAAACAGAAGTCCCCACAAGTACCAAGCTCTTCCTGAGACTGCAGCCCACCACACCTTGGAGAAAGGGAGGCTGGCAGGAGAGGAGTGCCCTGTCCTGGTGACCCACACCAAGGCAGTTCCAAGTGTAAACAAAGTCTGGTGCCAGGGACAGAAGAGGAGGATGCAGCCTGATGGGAGGTTTTCAGAAAAATGACCTAGCACCAGGATGGCCTTGCTTGGGTCTGCACAGCAGTCCCTCACACTGCCCTTACAGAGAGGAACAGGTTATTTGATGACTTGAGCCCATGAGATGTTCTCCAAGCCATTGACAGCTGAATGAATTCAGGTGATCCACCCGAATTCCATAAGTTTCAGCCCTCTTAAAGTTTGTAACAGAAACCCAGAGATTTACTATCGGCTAGAACAAAGACACAAGGTCTTAAGTAAAATAAAGGATTATCCTTCAAAAACAGCGGTATTAACAGACTTCTGACTCATGAATTTGTTCATCTGTCCTTGCTGGACCTGAGCCAGGTGCTTGTAATGTGACCTACTTATATACTAAAGTATAACTGGTACATGAGTAAAAAAATCTTTAAATTTCATTGTTGCAGGTAAGACTCAATAGGAAGATTGTGCTAAACGGCATAAAATTGTGGTCAGAGTCTGATCCAACACCACAATCATTTCTGAGAGCAGAGGGACTCAGTTTTGGGTGCTTTGAATTTTAAATATAATCAGCCTATTGCATCCTATAGATGAAAAGACACTCATGCTTCATTAGAACTGGTGTTCTGGACTAAGTATCAATAAATAGTGGAATATAACTCTCTCCCCAGGGAAGAATTTTGAGCCAGAGGAAGAAATGGTAGCATTTCAGGCCTTTAAAGTCAGGTGTTGGACCTGGTCAGAGGAAAAATTCCTGTAAAGCAGCCCCTCTATAGGGACTCCTACTTCAAATCTGAAATACCAAATTCAGAAGCCACCAGTCCTATCAACCTAGCATTCCCTCTTCCCCACTGCACCTTACCAAGTAAATATCTGTAAGAGCTGCATCTACCCATCTGGAGTAAAACTAAATGACCATTCCCCTGTTCCCCAATCTTCCCCCATCCTCTGAAGTCCCCACCTTGAGGTTGGCCCAGATCCTGAGTCTCCTCCAATAGCTTACCAATAAGAGCGAGCACTGGCCCTGAGCCCAGTTATATGATGTGGGTCAAAAGGCTCCTTTAATTCAGGAGAGTTGAGCCCACAGAGTCTTGTTATCAGGATTTTGGTGGCTGTGGCCATAGGTGGCCCTCAGAGAGCTACCTCTGACCTCTAGTCAGTTTTCCTCTCAGCCTTTTCCTCTTCGGCTACATCAAGCTCAGTCAGGACACAAAAGCAAAGCTGCTGGGTGTTTCTGGTGATAGCAGCTAAATGAAAATAGAGAAGCACAGGATTTAGTAAACATCTAGCTACAGCCCCAACCTGAACACAAGGCTGACTAGTAACATCTAATGCTTCCTCCCACCTGCCCCTTGGGTACCCTTTACCAAGTTTTGCCCCTCTCTCCCAACAAGCCTCATCGTCCTCTGTCCCATGCCCAACCAGAGTCTGATGCATGGCCCATCTTTCCAGGTGACTTGTGTTGTCAGGGAGGTAATGTTTTAGCCCCAAAATAGGACACTAAAATTAGAACTGAAGTGATTGTATCAAAATCAAAAGGGAAGTCATGGACAGCTGGGTCTCATGGCCTCCAGCGAATTCTGAGTATGGGAAAGCTGTTAGCCACCCCCCACCTTTGCGTGCACATGTACACACAGCCGCCAGTTAGTAAAGTGGTGGAGAGAAGCTCACCCAGGACATTCCGAATAAACAGTGGCCTCCGGGACTCTGGCAGGTAAACACCCAGGAAGTAGAAAGGGACTCCAGAAAGGGCAATCCCAATGCCGATGAGGGAATTAATGGTGTCACTGAAGAGGGGCACTATCACCAGAAATACGGAGCATATGCAGAACACAATGGGGAAAAGCAGGCTCAGCTGAAATAGAGGGGGTGAGATACTAAGTAACATGGGAAGAGGAAACAAGTCATGGGCAAGAAGGTACCTTAGGAAGATGGCCCACCCCACCTAGTCTGCCCAGAGCTGCTGACCTTGAGAGGCCGGGGCCGCTCAGGCTCCTTCCAGCGAAGATACAGCTGTCCAACAACAGACAGGCCCACGAAGAACCAGTAGCTGAAGCTGAAGTAGTTGATTAGCTGGAAAACATCCTCCACAATGAGGTAGATGAGTGTCATGGTACACTGCGGGAAAGGGGTCGGGAGGTAGGGAGCATTATCACCACTTGCGCCCCCAGGAGACTCCCCCACCGAGCAGTCAGTGCTAGATCTGATGCCACTTCACCAGATTACCTTTGGCTCTTTTCACTGACCCTTTGGCATTAGATAAGTCCATTCCTTGATGGACCTTGAGGTACATTAACCCTCAAGGTAGCATCTTTCCTCTTCTGTTGCAGCCCTTCCTCCACACAATGCCTCCCCCTTGTTGCAAGCACTCTAGAAAAGCAGGCATTGAGGCCCTCTTCAGTGCACCAACCTTAACATGGATCACACTGCATCCTAGAGAGGGCTCAGACCTGGGTCCCAACTCCTGGCATACAAATGGGGCAAACACCTTCAGAACCATCTCACTGGCCTGGGGCCTGAGAAATACTAACTAGCAAAATGGATCCATACCCATCTGGACTAAATAATGTCAATAAATAATAGACTGTAACTGTCTCCCCAGGGAAGAATTTTGAGCCAGAGGAAGAAATTGTAGCATTTCAGGCCTCTAAAGTCAGGTGCTGAACCTGGAAACTAGCAAAATAGATCCATTCGGATACATGACAGAATTAGCCTCTGGAACAAAAGAATCCTAGAAGACAAGGATCAGGGCCTAGAGTCCTGGGACAAGGTCAAATGTGTTTAAATTTCAATAATCTTTTCATTAAAATTATCAACAAAGGATTTAAAACAAAAAGAGCCCCTTCTGTGGAGATAAGGGAGGACCCTATATTAAGAAGAGAAGGCTGGGCATGGTGGTTAGCTAGTGCCTATAATCCCAGAACTTTGGGAGACCAAAGTGGCAGCTCACTGGAGCCCAGGAGCTCAAGACCAGCCTAGGCAACATAGTGAGACCTCATCTGTACAAAAAATAAATTAGCCAGCCTTGGTAGGATATGCCTATAGTCGGATAACCTCTTAAATTTATAAATTCAATGCTGGCCCTATCAAAATATCAAGAGGGTTTTTCTGTTATTTTGATGAAATGATAGAAAAGTTCATCAAGACAAACAAATGGGAAAATTCCAAGGGTGGGAGGACTAGGTACCTCTTTAGTTTTCAGATAGTCAGTATAAACCTAAACTAAGGAGGCTTGGTGCTGATGGGCAGGATTAGCTGACATACATTTAAGGAGCATACAATTATAATTGGCACATATTGAGCACCCTAAAAAGGTATTATTACTTTTCTATGATAAAAGTTTGAAAACTATGGAAAAATGGATTACTCAATAAATGATATTGGTATAGCTGGCTGCCATTTGAGAAAAAGTTAATCCCCATCTTTCTCAATACTATGCTATAATATAAATTCCAGATAAATCCAAAATTTACACTTAAAACCATAAAAGAACTAAATGACAACAAAAAATGAACTGTTTTTCAAATCTTAGAGTAAGGCCTTTCTCAGAATCCCTCTTGTTATATACAACTTAGCACAAATCAGGAGCAGTGCACAGATCCGCCTGAGCCCCGTGGTCCCCAGCAAAGCTTACATTGAACAATAAAGCAGGGATAGGTGTAAAACGTTCAATATGGATCATGGACAGAAGGTCCGGGAGGTGGCCCTCACGGGAGCCCACGAAGAACAACCTAGAAGGAAGAGAAATGTGTCAGCAGATCCTTTTACTCAGCTATATGGCCACACTCCTCATGTGGACAAACTTAGCTTAGAGCCCCCAAGGAAAGCAGGATACAGCCTCCCAGGAGCATCCCAGATCCTTAGGGTATCACCAGTCCAACCTCCCCGCTCCCCACTTTCCCACAGACTTTCCCTCCCTCTTCATCTCCAGGCACCTCACTACTACCCACATGCCCCACCCACCATTATCCACTGACCACCCAAGGCCCTCAGCTATGGAACCCACCATCACCTAGACATCTTCTCTCAACCACAGATGCCTCACCAACATCCAACAGATGCCTCATCCTGCTGTCACCCACTAACAGATTCACCCAATCCATGCCACGGATTCATAGCTAACATAATGGCTTTTAAAGGACAGCTAGATTTCCATTCATGCCCTCCATATATCTTCCCTGAACTGATGTATGATAGGCCAGGGCAAGACTGAGGGTCAAAGAGACAACCCAGGCTTGCTTTCTACATCTAAAGAGCTCTACCAACTGGGAAAAAGACTGGCATAGAAATGAATTCCCACCCCGTGTGGTCAGCATCATCTTGGGAGTACATGGCACTTACTCACTAGGCTTGAGGGCAGGTTGGGAGACCAAAATGCTTTGTAAGAGAAGAGATGCAAAGAAGAGTTACCAGAAGCAAGTGTGTAGATGGAAAAAATAAGCATGTACAAAGGCAAACTGTGTGGAGGCATGAAAGAGCGTGGCCTCATTGGAGATTGATGTAAAATGCCTAGAGCACCAGGACAAGCTGTGTGAGAAGAGGGTGCTGGGAAGAACCTGCATACAAGACCATGCTATGGAGTCTGAACAAACACTGAGAGCTAGCTGTGGCTTTAAGGCAGGCATCCCCAAACTACAGCCTGCGGGCCGCATGCGGCCCCCTGAGGCCATTTATCCGGACCCCCAACGCACTTCAGGAAGGGGCACCTCTTTCATTGGTGGTCAGTGAGAGGAGGACAGTATGTGGCGGCCCTCCAACGGTCTGAGGGACAGTGAACTGGCCCCCTGTGTAAAAAGTTTGGGGACACCTGCTTTAAGGTAAGGGCTTGACGGGATCTGACACTAGACTCTGGAGGCCAAAGGCTATACAAGAAGTCCATCGCAACTAGGCTAAACAGAGGGAAGATGACACTACTTTTTTCTTTTTGAGACAGAGTCTTGCTGTCACCCAGGCTGGAGTGCAGTGGCACAATCTCAGCTCACTGCAACCTCCTCCTCCTGGGTTCAAACAATTCTCTTGTCTCAGCCTCCCAAGTCGCTGGGACTACAAGCACATGACACCACACCCAGCTAAATTTATTTGTGTGTGTATTTTTAGTAGAGACAGGGTTTCATCATACTGGCCAAGGTGGTTTCAAACTCCTGTCCTCAGGTAATCCTTCCACCTTGGCCTCCCAAAGTGCTGGAATTACAGGCATGAGCCACTGTGCCCAGCGACACTATGTTCTTTTACAAGGCCTTGACTTCTCTAATTCTTTGGTTGCCCCAGGGAGGCACAATACATGCACTGGTGTGTGAAAACCAGTAAAAAGAATGAATGGGGGCCGGGCGCGGTGGCTCACGCCTGTAATCCCAGCACTCTGGGAGGCCGAGGCGGGTGGATCACGAGGTCAAGAGATCGAGATCATCCTGGTCAACATGGTGAAACCCCGTCTCTACTAAAAATACAAAAAATTAGCTGGGCATGGTGGCGCGTGCTTGTAATCCCAGCTACTCAGGAGGCTGAGGCAGGAGAATTGCCTGAATCCAGGGGGCGGAGGTTGCGGTGAGCCGAGATCGCGCCATTGCACTCCAGCCTGGGTAACAAGAGCGAAACTCCATCTCAAAAAAAAAAAAAAAAAAAAGAATGAATGGGTCAAAACTATTTCTTTTATTTTTCATCCTCCTGTGTTCATGTGGCAAATATTTATTGGATTACTATTATACCCCAGGCCCTGGGGACACCAGTTATAGGGTGAGTGGAAGAGAAATCAGGAAAGAAACTTTCTTAGGTATCTTATGTCACAGAAGCCATAGGAATCATTTCAGACTTGGAAAGTGATCAGCAGCAATTGCTTCAAAGGTCCAGTAGGATGAAGACTAAAGACAAGATAAGAAAGAGAGAGTCTTAAGAAGAGTATTTTTCAGATAACAGAAGCCAAACTGTAACAGATGGGAAAATGAATGAAGGGTGAAGTGCAGACTGCTGTCTCACAGGTGCATCCAGGGCCAGGCATGGTGGTGCATGCCTTTAATCCCAGCTACTCAGGAGGCTAAGGTGGGAGATCACTTGAGGCCAGGACTTTGAGACCAGCCTAGGCAACATAGTGAGACCCCAATCTCTAAAAAGAATTAATTTACAAATAAAAAGAAGTACATCCAGTAAGTGGGAAGAGGGAGATAGGAAAAGCTATTTTGTGACTCTCCTGAGAGGAGAGAAGCTCATGGAGAGCTGGCTCCAAGAAAGCACCTGCCAAAGAGAAGGGCCAACTGATGGAGCAAACTGCTGAAGAAGAGGAGAAGTGCTGGAACCCTGAGCCCAGGTAGCAGAGACTCCCAGGAGAGGCACACCTGCTTCTTCCTCTGCAACAATAGGAAGGATCAGCGTGCTTAATGATAAGTCTGCACAGAGAGGAGATCAGGCAACCTGATGGCCTTGGCATTTTCTGTGAAGTGAGGGGGAAAGTCTTTCTGTACATAGCACCAATACCTGGTACACAGCAAGTGCTGTTATTATTTACTGAAGGAATGAATCCTGGGGCTACAGCATAACCCACAAGGAGCCTAGAATCTAGTCCCTGCTGGAGTCACCCCTCCAAGCTATTGCCTTTCTGCTCCGTATCTTTCATCAATCTGTTCTCATCTCAGATGGAAACATGAGCTACCAACATATAAACATGAGCTGCCGGCATACAATTTGTCCTCATCTCAGACAGAAACATGAGCTACCAGCATATAAATGTGCTACTTGCACAAAGGCAAGTACATGCACACGCACACACACACACACACACACACACACACACACACACCCCTGTACGCCCATGAAAAGGAGGAGGGAAAAAAGGAGCTCTTATGCCTAAGCCCCAGAGAATGAAATATTGTGATCTATTATCAGTGACACAGAGACATGGTACCTTGATGAAGCAAAGATCGATGCATTGAGGCCCCCAAAGCAGGATAGGGCAACAGCAATGGGGATGATCCAGCTGAACATGCCAAATGTCTGGTCAGCAAATGTCTGTGGGCAGGGCACAGAAGAGGCACTTAAACGGGACAGGGTTTCATAATCCTCCTGCATCTGTGACCTTGGAACAAATGCAATCACTGCTAAGCAGCCTACCCACCCTCTGGCCTAGACTCATGACCTCGTCCTGCAGAGCTGAGGAGGGTGCAGGAAGAGAGACTGAGCTGTGCAGGGTGGCTCCATATCATGAGATGATGAACAAACGGGGATCCAAAGAGACTCACCACAGCCACAGCATCACTACTAAGGACATCTGAAATGTTCAGCACTGTGTAATAGGCCACATTGGTCAGGATGTAGATGAGCGTCACAATTGGCATAGATATCCCAATGGCCAAGGGCAAATTTCTGTCAGGACAAATGAGAAAGGACTATCTAGAACCAACTTCTCCTTGGGAACAAAGTTTATCAAGTTTCCACTGGGATTGTCCTAACATTTAACAATTCACTGGCCTCCAAGTCTTTGAGGCAGGCTCACCTTCCCCTTCACCCTGAGCTCTTTCTACTAAGAAAGACAGAGAACTTTCTTTGTGAAGATAGCTCATGATCAATATTTGAACTTTGCCACAGTAGGGCCAATGGGTCCCACTGCATTTCATAATCCTCCTGCATCTATGATCTCAGAGGGACAGTGTCCTCTGGGGACTAGAGGCCAGGCTGGGGACCCAGCTGGTCAGAGTAAGTTATGGTTCTGTGGGCTATAATGTCAGCAGCAGAGTGCAAAGTCCTAATCCCTTAGCCCCAGCTGGGCCTGCTCCTCCCCACTGAAGGGCCTCTCCACTAGGAAGGACCCTGTGTATCCTCCAGTGTGAACATGAGGACAGGGAACCGAGGGGCTTTCCCACCTTCACTCACTCGCATTCTAGCCCTCAGCCCCTCCTAGCTGGAGAAGGAGGACTAGGGAGAAGGGGCAACAGAGATGGAGGGAGAAGGAGAAGGATGAGGGCAAGCACACCCACTATCAGCAGGAGTTCCAGCCAAGCTGGGGAGTGAGAGTGTGATCCGGCTTTTACCTTTCTGGGTTTTTGATTTCTTCTGTTACAAAATTAAGGGTGTCCCAACCTGAGTAAGAGAAGAGGGCAGAGTAGAGGGCAAGAGAGAGGTTTCCCATGTCCCAGGAGGAACCCTCAAAGGCATCCTGAAAGTGCTCAGAGTGTCCTATGGGGGCAAAGGCAGGTGCAGGGTTCAGGGAGAAGGAACAGGTCAAAGGAGAAAGGAGGAGGAGATGGGAGGTGTAAGAGAAAGGTACAAAAGGAAAATAGGAAAGAGGAAGGGAAGATGAAAAAAAGGAGGGATGAGGAGGAACAAGAAAAGGGAGAAAAAACAAGAAGGCAGGGGAAAGAAAAAAAAAAACATAATTTAACAACAAAAGATCAACAACCACTAGCTCCCTGCACTTTACCACCCCACCCACTTCCTCAGAAAAGTTCACATTCCTTTAATAAAACTAGACAATAAAAAAACCAAAGACGAGCCAGGCGCAGTGGCTCACGCCTGTAATCCCAACACTTTGGGAGGCCAAGGCGGGTGGATCGCGAGGTCAAGAGATCGAGACCACCCTGGTCAACATGGTGAAACCCCATCTCTACTAAAAACACAAAAAATTAGCTGGGCATGGTGGCACGTGCCTGTAATCCGAGCTACTCAGGAGGCTGAGGCAGGAGAATTGCCTGAACCCAGGAGGCGTAGGTTGCAGTGAGCCGAGATCGCGCCATTGCACTCCAGCCTGGGTAACAAGAGCGAAACTCCATCTCAAAAAAAAAAAAAACAAAAAAAAAAACGAAGATATTCCTGGCCACCCTCTGATGTGACAATACTTCTTCCAAAACCTTAAAGAATTTCCATTTCCTGCAAGTGATCTCACAGCAAGCCCCAGCTCTTCTACCTATTTTTATAAAGAACACCGTTTCACATGAAGGAGTCATTTTTCATCGAAAATTAGACCTTCCTGTGAAGTGCCTCTCTTGGGCCAGACTACTGTACAATTTGGTCAAATGGGTTTATCAGCCTTGTGGGATGGACTCTCTGCTGCTCTACTTGCAGTGGCTGTGGTTGCATGGGGGAGATCATATGCTATAGAGGAACTTTATCTTTCACGAGGCCTGGGCCACCCCCACCCTTTGGGGAGCCAGCCCAGGCCCAGATACCTGTCATTCTTCTCAGACACCTCAGAGACTGCAGACCTAAAAGGCCAGGGGCCAGCACCCAGCTACCCAAGACAGAGACCTTGTGGACACACTGGGGTTTTTAACAAGACCCAGACTTCTAAGGAATCCCATTGTCACACTCTGAAGAAAGCCTAGACCCAGCTCTCACATGGTAAAAAGAACTGGCTATGCAGCAAGAGAAGGGAAAATAGAGACCCCCTGTCCTCAGGGGTTTCCATCCTCATACACAGCAGTGATTCCCTAAGGAACAGATCTTTGGGGAAGATTACTCAGAACCCAATTTGACCCCAAGATGCTCCCGAACCTCTGGGAACATCCACGTGGCTTGCTCTACTAACTTGATATAAGTACACACAGGGGCTAAACCAGCAGCCCGAGAATCAACTAGGGCAATTCTATTTTTCTTTTGTTTCCTTTTCCTTTTTTTTTTTTTTTTGAGACAGAGTTTCACTCTTATTGCCCAGACTGGAGTGTAGTGACACCATCTCAGCTCACCACAACCTTCACCTCCAGAGTTCAAGTAATTCTCCTGCCTCAGTCTTCCAAGTAGCTGAGATTACAGGTGCCCACCACCATGCCTGACTAATTTTTTGTATTTTTAAAAGAGATTGGATTTCACCATGTTGGCCAGTCTGGTCTCAAACTCCTGACCTCAGGTGATCCACCTCCCTCAGCCTCCCAGAGTGCTGGGATTACAGGCGTGAGCCACCTCACAGGGCCCAACAAAGGCAACTCTTTTTTTTTTTTTTTGATGGAGTCTCACTCTGTGTCTCCCAGGCTGGAGTGCAGTGTCACAATCTTGGCTCACTGCAACCTCCACCTCCTGGGTTCAAGCAATTCTCTGTCTCAACCTCCCGAGTAGCTGGGATTACAGGCGCCCACCACCACGTCTAATTTTTGTATTTTTAGTAGAGACGAGGTTTCACCATCTTGGCCAGGCTGGTCTTGAACTCCTGACCTCATGATCTACCTGCCTCGGCCTCCCAAAGAGCTGAGATTACAAGTGTGAGCCACTGTGCTCGGCCAAGGGCAATTCTTAAAAGCACAGCTTTTTAGACTCCAAACCAACCAGAATATGATCCAAAAGATTTGAGATTAGGATCTCAATTCCCCAGGTGATTGTACACAGCCACATATAGGGACTGATGAAATGACCGAGGTAGCTTTGGCTAAAGACATCTCTAGGGATCATGACATATTGGTAGGCCTATTACCCTTACTGCCAGTCCTCTCTGATCCAGGAACAAAAAGCTTTCTAAAGCCAACATGCAGGAAAGACACTGCCAATTTCACAATATTTTAATATTTTTCTGAGAGCTGACTTTGGAGTGGGGGGAATGTTAAATACAAGTCCAGATTAAAAGTAAAGGCTGCAAACCAACCACCCATTTCCATACCCTACTTCCTGCTCCACACTCCCTGCTAGCTGTCTCAAGGAGGGCCCAGTCTTCCTACTTGCAGCTTGGCAGTCACAGACCACAAATAGGAGCCACTCTATCCCCACAGATTACTTTTATGACCAATCATGACCCAAGTTTCAGGAGCTCCTAGGCCCTTGGCTGGCTTCCTGCAATGCTCCCAGCCTCCACAAAAGGAAAGCAGCCCTGAAGGAGAGGCTGACTCATGTCCACTTGGCCAAGCCAGCCTGGCCCAATAAGCCCAGAAAGAAATCTACTCCCGTCTCTTGCACTCACTGACACATGCTAGCATGTACATAGAATCAGCTAAGCAGTGAAACTAACAAGAGTACCCATGTCCTCCTCAGGGTATCCAGGAAACTCTTGGTGATACCCCTGTTCCCACCACTTACCCTGGCACAGTTTAACAAGGCCCATGACAATGATGGCAATAAGCGCTAGGACCTTGGCATAAGTGAACGCGTCCTGCACACGTGTGCCCCACTTGACATAGGCACAGTTCACAAATGTCAGCAGACCTAGGAGGAAAACCACAAAGTCACTGGCAGGCTTGAGTTGAGGGCACAGGGGCCCCACCTCTTTTACAGAGAGCACCACTTTCTGCCCTTCCTGCCTAAGGGAAAGGGGCCAATGGACCGGTCAGAACAAGGCAAACTGGCAAGCAAGGGGACAACCTGCACCTGCCCCAGCTGACAGCATACATGCACGTCCCATCACTGCTAACGTTCAAAGATACAAAGACATGCATGAACACATATTTATACATCCTGATGGCCAGCACCATTTCTGGAAATCCCCTTGAGGCCTAAAGATGGGTAACTTCACCCACTCTTTCCCACCCAGGCTCCCAAGGTTCCAAACCACAAGAGACACAAAACCTCTTCATGGCCAAAAGAAACTCATCAATAAGTGAGGTAAATTTGAATGCAGATGGCAGGTTACAGAAGAAATTAGAGAGACAGTGTTTTGCATGTAAGTGTAAAAAAGAGGCCAGGTGCAGTGGCTCAGACCTTTAATCCCAGCACTTTGGGAAACACAGGTAGATGGATCACTTGAGCCCAGGAGCTCGAGACCAGCCTGGGCAACATGGAGAAATCCTGTCACTACAAAAAAATACAAAATTTAGCTGGGCATGGTGGTGCACACCTGCAGTCTCAGCTACTCAGAAGGCTGAGGTAGGAGGGTTGCTTGAGCCTAGGAAGTTGAGGCTACAGTGAGCTGTGCACTCCAGCCTGGATGACAGAGTAAGACCCTGTCTCAAAAAAAAAAAAAAAAAAAAAAAGAAAGAAAGAAAGAAAAAGTCTGTTCTATGCCTGACAACTTCACATACACATTTCCATCAAATCTCATGACTACAAAATACAGATATTCCTATTCTCATTTTATAGATGAGGAAACCAAGGCTGAGAGAAGCTAACTACCATTTCTAAGTTCATATTCCCAAGTCCACTGATTGCTGCCACCCTCATTCCTACCCATCCCTCCCAATTCTCAATGAGTCCATGGAGAAGTGCACCCACTTGAGCATTTCCTAGGCTCATGTGGTCTTAAGTTCTAACTCCTGACACACCTCAGTGACATCTGGGCCCTGTGCTGAGAGCCCCAGCATCTTGCTCCTGCTAAACAATGACTGCTCTGATCCATGGGGAGGACATAAGAGCAATATCCAGTAGGAAGGAACACAGTGACATCTGTAAGTACTGTCTCTAGCATCCAAAAATATAACTTTTATGTGCACCTCAAATCTTATTACAAAATCTTTTGGGCTCATCCTCTAGGCCAACTCCACTTACTCCTACCCATTTTGCACTCTCTCCTTCAGCCAGACTCTCTCTCTTATTCATACCAGACATACACATAAAAGAAATGTCCTCCCCTCCTCTTCCTGCCATAGCCAACAGCCACTCCCATTTTCAAGGTCTAGTTCAGCCCCCGCTTCCTCTTCCTCTGTAAAACCTTCTCTAAATATACCAGGCAGCCCCTCTCTGAGCTTTTTCTCTCCTGAACCACAGGGCATTCCTGCTTCTTACCAGAGCTTAGTGTCTATGCTATCATCATGGAGACACCAGTCTGAAGTCTCTCCCTCAGATGACTGGGTCATGCTTCTCCCAAGATCACAAATTCTCAGAACGCAACAGCAATATATCATTTTCTTTTCTTTCCTTCCTTCCTTTCTTCCCTTTCATTTTTTTCCTTTTCTTTGAGACAGGGTCTTGCTCTGTCACCCAGGCTGGAGTACAGTGGCACAATCATGCTCGATCTCCAGGGCTCAAGTGATCCTCCTACCTTGGCCTCCTATTAGCTGGGACCACAGGTGCACACCACCACACCCAGCTAATTTTTTAAAAATTATTTTGTAGAGACAGGGGTCTCCCTATGTTGCCCAGGCTGGTCTGGAACTGCTGGGCTCAAGCGATCCTCCCAACTCAGCCTCCTAAAGTACTAGGATTATAGGCATGAGCCATTGCACCCGGCCATATTGTAAGCTCATCACCAAGCAAAGAGGGGACACTGATAAACCCTGGTTGGAACCAAGGTGGTAAGATTTTCACTCTAACTTCCAATTCCCTGGGGCAAGGCAAATTGTCAGAAAGTTGGATATTCTTCCACTCAAATGGAGTGCCTACAGCCAGACTGTGAAAATGAACACAGCGGGCAGGTGGCAGGCTCAGTGGCTTGAAAGAGCTTTTACTCAATACACTGGCAAATAACACATGTGCTTACTAGTCAATCACCATGTGGGAGTAGAGGGGACAGTGGTCAAATGGGAGGGAAGAAGAAGCCCAAAGGAATGCATGCTGCTGGCAGGTCTTCCCGGAAACCTACCCTGATGATCAAAGCTACCTGTATGGGGTTAAGCCTCGATCAGCTAACATAAAGATTACCTAGTTAACAGGCACCAGTAATCCATAGACCCCTCTACAGTACAATAGCCATGTTTTGAGGTACCTCCCCAGCTCCTTCCTGGGAACTGTTTCCCCTTCGCTATCATGGCTGATGGAGCCAGACACTGGATCCAAGTTGATCCTGTTATATTGCCTCTCCCAGAAACAAAGAGTTGGAAAAGCAAGAAACTGAATCTAACAGTAATGGACAGAAGGGTCAGGAGCTACAGCAAGTCAAAGTCACAAACAAGCCCTTAGTAACAAAGGGACAGAAACTATAAGTAAGCAGAGGAAGGAAGCGGGACCACAAAAAGAAGCAGAAGTGAGAGGACATGCAGCTTGGACAAAAAGACTGATGGGGCGGGGGCCGCGGTGCACACCTGGAGTCCCAACTGCATGGGAGGCTGAGGTGGGAGAACTGCTGAGCCCAGAGTCCAGGCCTATAGTGCACTTTAATAGCGTCTGTGAATAGTCACTGCACTCCAGTCAGGGCAACAGAGTGAGAACTTGCCTCTAAAAAAAACAAACAAAAACAAAAAAAAAGAAAGACAAGAAAATACACAGAAGGCAGGATCGGGGGATGAGAGAGAGACGAGATAGAGACAGACAGAATGGGACAAAAAGAGACACAAAAAGATGGAAATACACATAGAAAGAGACTGACAATATCCTGGCAGTGCTAACTATGCTTCTTGTTTGCAGCTCCAAGAAGGGGAAGAGAAGCTGATAGACTGCTCAAACCCACTAACAGGCACTGGGTCTCACTTCTGCTCCTTCTCCTTCCCTCTATCCTGCCATACATGTCCTATAGGTTTGATCCTCTCTGCACACAGGTAAATATTACACAAAGTGGAAATGCAACGACTATCTGCTAAACTTGAATGAAGGTAGCTGCTTGTGGAAGTCCCTGCAAAGTCCATTCCAACAGACCAGCTGGAAAGATACAAAAGCCCTTGATCAGAGTGGCTTCTCATGAGAGGAAAGCCTAAAGCTGTGGAAAGGGAGGGAGACTTTCCACTGTGTGCCCTTATGACTGGTTTACTGTGAACATAACGCATCTTTCTGGATAAAAATTAAAATAGTTTGTGCTCACTTCAGCAGCACATCTGCTAAAATTGGAACCATACAGAGAAGATTAGCATGGCCCCTGAAAAAATTTTTAAAGAATTTTTTAAAATAAAAATAGTTCATTAGCAACAGTGTAGTGCCAGAAGGCAGAGCCAGGGCAGGGTGAAGCTAGGAGGTGCCTAGAGCACAAAATTTAAGGAGGCAGTCACTCTAAGAGGACTACAGGAAGGAACCTGAGAGTGAGTACGCCCTGCAGCATCTGGCCCCAGGCACCTCACTTGCCTCACCCTACTCTCAGCCCTGCCAGAGAACAGAGAGCTCCTAGAACAGTCTATCAAGCAGAAGCCAATTCCCTTGATTGTTCTCCTGATTCTAATTAAGAAACAAAATTTCACCATCTGATCCTACCTCCTCTATTGCTTCCCAGAACTCCCAGCCCCTCTATCTTACCATTACTATCAAAGTTGAAACAAAGTCAACAGCTGGGCTTTTAAGCCAGATGCTAAGATTCAACTACCACAATTAAAATGTCCAAGCCTTCCCTCTTCTCCTGGTCTCATTTCCTTGCTGGATAAGCCCGCACCAATGAGCGTGAGACCCATCTGAGGGTCTTCAAGACTCTCTGGGAGCTTATTGCTGAGAGAGGAGTACTCAAATAGCAGATCCAGACTGAAAGCCAAAGTAGAATCAAATCCCCAAAGTTGTGGGGATCTGTCCTGCAGACCTTGACTCAATAACGGATTAATAAATTCACTCATGGTGGTGCATGCCTGTAGTCCCACCTACTCAGGAGGCTGAGGCAGGAGAATCACTTGAACCTGGGAGGTAGAAGTTGCAGTGAACCGAGATCACGCCACTGCACTCCAGCCTGGGCAACAGAGTGAGACTCTATCTCAAAAAAAAAAAAAAAAAAAAAAAGGCCGGGCGGGGTGGCTCACGCCTGTAATCCCAGCACTTTGGGAGGCCGAGGCGGGTGGATCACAAGGTCAAGAGATCGAGACCATCCTGGTCAACATGGTGAAACCCCGCCTCTACTAAAAAAAATACAAAACATTAGCTGGGCGTGGTGGCGCGTGCCTGTAATCCCAGCTACTCAGGAGGCTGAGGCAGGAGAATTGCCTGAACCCAGGAGGCGGAGGAGGTTGCGGTGAGCCGAGATCGCGCCATTGCACTCCAGCCTGGGTAACAAGAGCAAAACTCTGTCTCAAAAAAAGAAAAAAAAAAAAAAAAAAAAGAGATCAAGACCATCCTGGTCAACATGGTGAAACCCCGTCTCTACTAAAAACACAAAAAAAATCAGCTGGGCATGGTGGTGCGTGCCTGTAGTCCCAGCTACTCAGGAGGCTGAGGCAGGAGAATTGCCTGAACCCGGGAGGTGGAGGTTGCGGTGAGCCGAGATCGTGCCATTGCACTCCAGCCTGGGTAACAAGAGTGAAACACCGCCTCAAAAAAAAAAAAAAAAAAAACCCACAAAAAATTAGCTGGGCATGGTGGCACGCGCCTGTAATACCAGCTACTCAGGAGGCTGAGGCAGGAGAATTGCCTGAACCCAGGAGGCGTAGGTTGCAGTGAGCCAAGATCGCGCCATTGCACTCCAGCCTGGGTAAAAAGAGCGAAACTCCGTCTCAAAAAAAAAAAAAAAAAAGAAAAGAAGTCATATGCTGAGGATGGCAGAGCAGGAAGACAGAAGGAATGAACCTGGTTGAAGGATTCAAGTCATCCAACCCACATGCCTTCTTTTTAACATGTGAGAGAAACAAACACCAAATGTTTGAGCCATGCTGCTAAAGGTTTTCTGTTGTCTGAAACCTAAGTTAACACTGAATAACATATGCACCCGCTGACAGAACTGTGACTTTCATACTCTCTTTCTGATGAGGAGATGGCCTGACAACCTGAAGTTATACTCCCACTTACAGTGACAGTAGTCACAACTCTCTTTTTCCACAGGCAACAGAGAGTGGAGGGAAACCTTCCAATTCCTCCCACAGACAGGCTGAGTGTTACAAAGGGGCATTCAAGGACAAAGTAGTGCAACCCTAAATAAAAAGAACAACAAAAATGTAGAAGAAAGGCTGGGCACAGTGGCTCACTCCTGAAATCCCAGCAATTTGGGAGGCTAACGCGGACAGATCAGGTCAGGAGCTCAAGACCATCCTGGCCAATATGGTGAAACCCCGTCTCTACTAAAAATACAAAAAAATTAGCCAGGTGTGGTGGCGCATGCCTATAGTCCCAGTTACTCAGGAGTCTGAGGCAGAAGAATTGCTTGAACCCCAGGAGGCAGAGGTTGCAGTGAACTGAGATCACACCACTGCACTCCAGCCTGGGAGACAGTGAGATTCTGCCTCAAAAAAAAAAAAAAGCCGGGTGCGGTGGCTCAAGCCTGTAATCCCAGCACTTTGGGAGGCTGAGGTGGGCGGATCACGAGGTCAAGAGATCGAGACCATCCTGGTCAACATGGTGAAACCCCGTCTCTACTAAAATTACAAAAAATTAGCTGGGCATCACGGCGCATGCCTGTAATCCCAGCTACTCAGGAGGCTGAGGCAGGAGAATTGCCTGAACCCGGGAGGCGGAGGTTGCGGTGAGCCGAGATCGCGCCATTGCACTCCAGCCTGGGTAACAAGAGCGAAACTCTGTCTCAAAAAAAAAAAAAAATTGTGTAAGTAAAAAAGGCAGGTGGAGGGGACAACTACAAGACATTCAGGAGTGAAATGCTAACACTCAAGGGGAGGTAAATCCTTCCAAATGGAGATCCCAGAATCAGTAGCTACCATTTCTTTTTAAAAAGTATCCTTTTTATGTGTGTTTTTTTGTTTTCTAAGAGACAAGTTCATGTTGCCCAGGCTGGTCATGAACTCCTGGGCTCAAGTGATCCTCCTGCCTCGGCCTCCCAGACTGCTGATATTACAGGCAAGAACCACTTAGCCTAGCCAGTGTCTTTGTTTTCAATTATACAAATACATTTAGTCCCATTATGAAAGCATTCAAACTGGCCAGGCACAGTGGTTTACGCCTATAATCCCAGCATTTTGGGAGGCCAAGGCGGGTGGATCACCTGAGGTCAGGAGTTCGAGACTAGCCTGGCCAACATGGTAAAACTCCGTCTCTACTAATAATACAAAAAAATTAGCTGGGCATGGTGGCCAACGCCTGCAATCTCAACTACTTGGGAGGTTAAGGCAAGAGAATAGCTTGAACCTGGGGAAGCGGAGGTTGTAGTGAGCTGAGGTCACACCATTGCACTCCAGCCTGGGCAACAAGAGCAAAACTCCATTTCAAAAAAAGAAAAGAAAAGAAAACATTCAAATTATATATAGGGTTGGAGTCTTCAAGCAACTATGATCAAGACCCAGTCTTCCTTATGTATCACTCTCACAACATGAAAGCTGTCTGTCCATAGCAACTATCCAAAATAAGGAGAATATCCTTTCTACTGAGAACTCTGACCAGGCCTGTGTCCAAGACAGCAAGAAATCACAGAAACAATGGATACTGGGGAATCATACAATGTTTCTTCTTCCCTCCAGTCTCATCCTTCCCAGTCTCCCTCCTTCTCCTCCTGCTCATTGTCAGCCTTGCCAAACAAACGCAGGTAAATCGAGTCTCAGCTGTGAGCAGGCACTGGGCTTTGATGCTGCTGTGTCAGTAATGAACTCCTTCCACAGTGAAATCTTCAAAGCAAGTACTTTCCAATGATGTGTGTGAGCCTACACAAGAGGCAGGATCCCAAGGTTAAAGCCCAAAAAGATAAATGAGCTGACAACACCCAAGCCAGAACCATCACCCTTCCGTCAAATCAAGGTACCCAAGGGCACCTGGGTGACTGTGAATCCAGCTGATCACACAGGCAAAGAAAAGACCCTATGTACCTACCTCAAGAACCAACATTTCTCCCCATTAGTCCCACAAGTGAGTATGAGCCCCTAAACAGTCAGTCAGCAGCCTGAGGCCCTGCCTCACCATGTAAGATTCCCAAACCCCAGAACACATATGAACAGAGTACACCCTTAGGACAGAGTTTCTCAACCTCAGCACTATTGACATTTTAGGCCAGGTAAGTCTTTATTGTGAGGAGCTGTTCTGTGCATGGTGGTATGTTCATCAGCACCCCTGACCTCTACCCATTAAAAACAAAAAACACCCCTTCCCAGGAGTTGTGACAACCAAAAGTGTCTCCAGATACTGCTAAATATTTCCTGGAAGACAAACACCCCTCTGGCTGAGAACCACTGTTCTAGGATAATTTGTAGGTAAAATAGCCCGAAATCTCCAAAAAAAACTGCTTGATCTCCTTGCCGCTATACCCTGAGAATGGGATGGAGTACAGCCAGAAAGCTAAGATCTGAAACAGCAGTGCCTTCAGGGGCCAGGAAAGTAATATGAGTGAGCAAAGGCAAGATAAATCTGGGTATAAAACAAGAAGTAGAGGACTGCAGTGGATTGGGGAGTCTATACTCCATTTAAAAGGAGCCACAGCCCACCACAGTGGCTCACACCTATAATCCCAACACATGGGGAGGCTGAGGCAGGAGGATCACTTGAGCCAGGAGTTTGAGGCCAGCCTGGGCAACATAGGGAGACTCTTTTTAAATAAAAAAATAAATATGAAAAGAAACTACGACTACTCAAATCCAGCTCATTGTATCAGGAAAGAATTTGAGTCCAACAAAAAAAGAACTTTACATTTTTCAAGAGAAAAGGCAAATCCTGATTTTCAAATGTTGGCATCTAATTCAAAATTATTTACACCACCACAAACCAAACAAACCTATCTGTGGGCCAAGTCTGGCTCACGGACTGCCAGCTTCCAGACTCTGCCCTAGAGTTAGTTATATAGAGACTTCCTGGGCCCTCCCTTCTAGGATGGAACTTTAATTGTCTAGAATGGCTATAACTTGTTTAGGCAGTCTCCCAACCAACAAGCTGGACCCTCTCATGCCTCAATTTCAAGATTAACTTAATTCTCCTATCCTACCAAAGTCTTACCCTAGATTCAGTGCAGACCTTTGATTTTTTTCCCCCTAAATGACCTATTTGGTTTCTTGCAATTTATGTCTCCTGAAACCACGTTTCTCCCACTGCCACCTCTATTCAAGGAGACTCTCTCAGCATATCCCAGCTCTGCTGAAAGCCTGATACTGCAACCCAAGTTCCAAGAAGGGAAGTAAGCTGAACCCTAAAGCCTACCCTAGTCTGAAGAGAATATGGTTTCATGATTTGGCCATAACTATGACAAGCAAGTTCTTGCCCTCAGGCCTAGATTCTGGAAAAGCCAGTGTTTCTGGGATAGAAAGCCTTCAAGAATTCAGATCCCCAGGAATCTGGGTCAAAGTACATGTTGAATGGCCAAGCATGATGGTTCACACCTATAATCCCAGCACTTTGGGAGGCCAAAGTGGGCAGATCACATGGGCTCAGGAGTTCAAGACCAGTGTGGCCAACATGGTGAAACCTCGTCTCTACTAAAAACACAAAAATTAGCCAGGCATGGTAGCTCACACTTTTAATCCCAGCTACTTGGGAGGCTGAGACAGAAGAGTCGCTTTAACCCAGGAGGCGGAGGTTGCAGTGAGCCAAGATCATGCCACTGCACTCAAGTCTGGGTGACAGAGCGAGACTCCACCCACCTCCCCCGCCAAAAAAAAAAAAATTAAATCTAGTCTGGCATGGGGGCCTACAATCCTAACCACTATACTATACTGCCTGGAAATTACTTATATATCTTCAAACTGTGTTTTCTAACAGTATTTGATGAAAGATTAAATATTAAATTTTTTTTGGAGACAAGGTCTCATTTTGTCACCCAGGCTGTAGTGCAGTGGCATAATCATAACTCACTGCAACCTTGAATTTCTGGCCTCAAGGGATTCTACCTCCTCAGCCTCCTGAGTAGCTGGGATTACAGATGCTCACCACTGCCACTGTCACCAGGCCTGGCTAATTTTTTTTTTTTTTTGAGACGGAGTTTCGCTCTTGTTACCCAGGCTGGAGTGCAATGGCGCGATCTCGGCTCACCGCAACCTCCGCCTCCTGGGTTCAGGCGATTCTCCTGCCTCAGCCTCCTGAGTAGCTGGGATTACAGGCACGCGCCACCATGTCCAGTTAATGTTTTGTATTTTTAGTAGAGACGGGGTTTCACCATGTTGACCGGGATGGTCTCAATCTTTTGACCTCGTGATCCACCCGCCTCGGCCTCCCAAAGTGCTGGGATTACAGGCTTGAGCTACCGCGCCCCGCTAATTATTTTTTTTTTAAGAGGTGGGGTCTTGCCGGGCGCGGTGGCTCAAGCCTGTAATCCCAGCACTTTGGGAGGCCGAGGCGGGTGGATCACGAGGTCAAAAGATTGAGACCATCCCGGTCAACATGGTGAAACCCCGTCTCTACTAAAAATACAAAACATTAACTGGGCATGGTGGCGAGTGCCTGTAATCCCAGCTACTCAGGAGGCTGAGGCAGGAGAATTGCCTGAACCCAGGAGGCGGAGGTTGCGGTGAGCCGAGATCGCGCCATTGCACTCCAGCCTGGGTAACAAGAGCGAAACTCCGTCTCAAAAAAAAAAAAGAGGTGGGGTCTTGCTTTGTTGCCCAGGCTAGTCTCAAACTCCTGTGCTCAAGGGATCCTCCCTCAGCTTCCCAAAGTATTGGAATTACAAGGCATGAGCTACCATGGACAGCCAATATTAATATTTTTTAATTTTAAAAAGCGGTATAAAACCCACAAAATAAGATGCCCTCAAAAAGTACTTATTAAAAATAATAGATATGTACACAAAAAATACTAGAAAGTATTTCACCCAAATAGTAACAATAGTACTGTATGAGGTAAATTCATGAGTGATTTAAAATTTTCTTTTTTCTATCTTTCTGTATTTTTAAAATTATCTGTAAAATCCATGTGTTACTCTTTAATAACACTAGGCTGGGCGTGGCTCACACCTGTAAACTCAGCACTTTGGGAGGCTGAGGCCGGTGGATCACCTGAGGTAAGGAGTTCAAGACCAGCCTGACCAAAATTGTGAAACCCCATCTCTACTAAAAATATAAAAAATTAGCTGGGCTTGGTGGTGGGCGCCTATAATCCCAGTTACTGGGGAGGTTGAGGCAGGAGAATCCTCTAAACCCAGAAGGCTGACACTGCAATGAGCCAAGGTTGCGCCATTGAGCTCCAGCCTGGGCAACAAAAGCAACACTCTTGTCTCAAAAATAAAAAAATAAAAAAATAAAATAAAAAATAAAAATTAGGCCAGGTGCAGTGGTTTATGCCTGTAATCCCAGCACTTCGGGAGGCAGAGGCAGGCAGATCATCTGAGGTCAGGGGTTTAAGACTACCCTGGCTAACATGGTGAAACCGCAGTTCTACTAAAAATACGAAAACTTAGCAAGGCATGGTGGCATGTGCCTGTAATCCCAGCTACTCGGGAGGCTGAGGCAGGAGAATTGCTCCATCTCAAGGGTGGAGGTTGTAGTAGGCTGAGATTGCACCACTGCACCCCAGCCTGGGCGACAGAGAGAGAATCTATCTCAAAAAAAAAAAGGCAGAATATAAAATTATAAGCAAAGTATGGTGCCAAGTCTACAAAAGAATATCAAACTATTAAAAGTACTCTTTTCTTGGTGGTAGATTTTGGATGACTTAAGAGTAATTTAATTTTCTCAATACACATGATTTGTGGGTTGTTTTGTTTTGTTTTTTTTGGAGACAGGGTCTTACTCTGTTACCCAGGCTGGAGTCCAGTGGCATGAACACAGCTCACAGCAGCCTCGACCTCCCAGGCTCAAGAGATCCTCCCATCTAGGCCTTCTGAGTAGCTGGGACCACAGGGCAAACACCAACATGCGCAACTAACTTGTTTTGTAGAGACAGGGTCTCACCATGTTGCCCAGATTGGTCTTGAATTCCTGATCTCAAGCAATTCTCCCACCTCAGCCTCCCAAAGGGCTGGTATTACAGGCATGAGCCACCATGCCTGGCCTAATAGATATATTTTATAATAAGAAAATTATTACCTTTTTTAGAAAGCTCAGTCAGACCAATCTGCCTAGCCAAAGCCTATCAGACATATAGCTAAGTACCCTCCTTCCCTCATCCCAAGGGTATCTGTTTCCCCCTCACTATCCCAAGGAATATGGGGGGGGGGTTCCCTTTAATTTGTCTTTAATAAATTCCATAAAGTCAAGAGGCATGGGTATTCTACAGTCTGTTATTGCTAACACCAAGTACTCTGAGGCTATTTTTAACACTGGATAAACTACATATACTGCCAAAGTTTTTGCAAGCAGAGATTTGAAAAGAACAGAATAGTATTAAGTGCCTCTAGTAATACAGTGCTAAGGAACATAGAATTCTGAATTCTGGGCCTTTCTCTTTTTAAACACTAGTTCTGTAAGGCTGGGTAAATTCACAGCAATCTTTTCTCCTTACTACCCAGTAAGAGAAAAAGGAAAATAAAGAGGGATTGACTGGGATCTCTCAGGTTCTATCTGCAGAAACTCAAATGTGGCTGCAGGCAGAGCTTGTTTATACAGTCAGTGTAAAGAAGGCTGATACACTAGGAGGAAAAGTGTCACATCTGCTGCTCAGAACAAGTCACAAAGAGCAGCAGCGGCAGACAGGAAACAGTCCTGTGGGCCTGAGGTTTAACACTGTAGGACTCCCACAGTCTAGAGAAGCCTATTTTCTCACTGATGGTTTTTTTTTTTTTTTTTTTTGAGGCGGAGTTTCGCTCTTGTTACCCAGGCTGGAGTGCAATGGCGCGATCTCGGCTCACCGCAACCTCCGCCTCCTGGGTTCAGGCAATTCTCCTGCCTCAGCCTCCCGAGAAGCTGGGACTACAGGTACGCACCACCACGCCCAGCTAATTTTTGTATTTTTAGTAGAGACGGGGTTTCACCATGTTGACCAGGATGGTCTCGATCTCTCAACCTCGTGATCCACCCGTCTCAGCCTCCCAAAGTGCTGGGATTATAGGCGTGAGCCACCGCGCCCGGCCTCACTGATGGTTTTAACTAGTTTAAGATAAAAATCTGGGAAATAAAATAACTCTTTTTTTTCCTTTTTCTTTTTTTTTCTTTAGGAACAGAATAAAGGCTTCAACACTGGTTGGGGTTTTTTCAGGGCTAACTTACATCTAGCAACGTTGACTTCAATCAAAACAGCTGTCAAGACAAATAAAAGACATGCCCCAACCTATCACAAAGACCGAAAAACAGAACAAGGGCAGCCAAGAGAGGAGGAACATGAGGCACCAAAAGTCAAGAACAGATTCAAACTTCTCCTGTCCCCATCCTTGATGCTTACTATCTCTCAGGACCAAATGACTGGTAAAATTACTTCCTCAAAAGGTAAGAAGCCTCCCTCCCCTCCAAAATGCAAAATATGCTATTGAAATATAAAGTATCATTATTAGTAGTACCCCCCACCCCCAGCATCCTCCCAATCTCAGCCCCCACTTACATATACAAGCAGCAGCCAGGAGACGGCAGGCCAGGTATGGGGGATCACAGGTGGGGAAGGACGGCTGGATGATGTAGTTGGCGAAGGTGATGGCGATGATGGCCTGAGCGGTGGGCTCAACAACTAGCAGTGAGACCCACAGGCGGATGAAGGCAATGAAGCCCCCAAAGGCCTCTAGAATATAAGCGTAGCTGGCTCCCGACTTGGTGATAGTGGTCCCCAGCTCTGCATAACAAAGGGCACCCACAACAGAGAAGAGCCCACCAATGGTCCATACAATCAGCGACATCCCATAGGAGGCACTGTATACCAGCACACCCTTGGGTGAGACAAAGATCCCTGAGCCGATCATGTTGCCCACCACCAGGCTGACTCCATTCAGCAGGGAGATCTCCTTCTTCAGTTGCATAGTTTCCGAGGACCTTTGAGGTGGCAAGCTGACATCTTCTTCCACCTGGGATTGGCTGGTGTTAGGGACAAGATGGTAGGTGGGTGTGGGCCTCCCAGGCTCCCTGGCTTCCATGACAAATGGCTCCTGCACACCTGTATTTACTGCAGCCTGGCAAAGAATACAAGTATGTCAGTCTAGGGCAGGAGCTGGTTTAGACCAGATTTCCCTGCCCACTTCCTGTTTAGGGACAGCATGCCATGCACACAACCCTAACTACAATAGGCTTTCTCAGTTCCCACCATAGGACACAGGGAAATAGAGCTGGGTAGACTTTCACTGCTCCCAAGAAAGATACCATGAGAGCTCACACATGATGTGATGATGACTTCCAATGACAAATACCTGTCTTGCAGCCCAGAATAGGCTGGTATTAAATTTGTCCATCCCTGGATTCTCCCTGAGTTGTAGACTTTTGCTCTGTTCTCACCAGCTTAAAACCCACAAACCGGGACAGGGAGGGGGAAAAAATAAAAATAAAAATAAATAAGTAGATAATAATAATAGGCCTCTCACTGTCCATACTCAGGTAATCCTGCCCACTCACCTCTACCCAAACATAAACTGGAACTTCTGCAATGTCCAGTGAGACATGAGGATGTCTGCAGCTACTCTCAGGCCAGTAAAGAATGTGAGCAGGTGGTGGGAAGGGCGAGGAAGATGCTAAGAAAAGGGCATATCACCACTGCAGTGACTAGACCGTGGGAGGTCCCTCATGAAAATACACACCTGGCTGGGCATGGTGGCTTACACCTGTAATCCCAGCACTTTGGGAGGCTGAGGCAGGCGGATCATGAGGTCAGGAGATGGAGACTATACTGACAAACATGGTGAAACCCCATCTCTACTAAAAATACAAAAATTAGCTGGGCATGGTGGTGGGCACCTGTAATCCCAGCTACTCAAGAGGCTGAAGCAGGAGAATTGCTTGAACCCAGGAGGCAAAGGTTGCAGTGAGCCGAGATCGTGCCACTGCACTCCAGCCTGGCAACAGAGACTCTGTCTCAAAAAAAAAAAAAAAAAAAAAAATACAGGCCTCTGTATTGTTGTGTCTGCAACGCCTACCTTACTCTCCCACATTGCTGCTTGCTCATTCAACATCTTTCTTTTCCCAAAGTACCCAGAAGAGAGGGGTTACGTGATAAGACAAGGTGGAAAAAGGACATCCAGGGGCATCCTAACCCTAATTTGCCACTGGCATATTTGCTTTCTTCTTCCCCAGCATGCCCCTCATGTTGGATTCCACATTAACCTACCTATGAAGGACCCAGAATCTATCAAAGGAAAATAAGCACCTTCCTGACCCTGCACCCAGCGTGACCTTCTCCTCCCTCAACTCCTGTGACAGTCATGCTTCAGATCCCTTGATCCCATCTCATCTTCAGAAGAAATCTGGTGGACCATCTGATTTCCACCCAGGAGTCAGTCCTTTAAGGTCACAGAGATAACTTCCAATTATCAGCAAGCACATCATCATTCCAGAGGCCTCTTATTCAACAAATGTGTATGTGCCTGAACCTTGCCTCGTGTAGCTCAGAAAAAGGAAACACAGCCAGTCAAGAGTGAGTAGTTCTTAGGGAAAACGCTGATCTCCACAGTCCCCATCCAAAACTCCGGCCTTCCCTATCCCAAACCCCTTCAAGTCTAGACCTGAGCCCAAGTAAAACTCCTCCCAGGCACTAGTCAAGCCTTCCGCCAGTCCCAGGAGTGGAGGCAACCTACCTCTCCTTCGATGAGGCTGAGCTTTAAGGCAGCACCACTTTTGCTCTCACTCTGGAACCAAGCCATGCAGGTTTCCCTGCAGAGGCATGTGGAAACATATTTGTTTTCATGTGCCTGTCAGGTAAGCCCAGGCATCCAGTAGTACAATACAGCTGGGGAGCCAATAGTCTCACATAACAGTCAGATGCAAAGACACCTAGGATGGCTTTTCTACCCAACTCAACAGGGAGACAAGCAGAGAAATCTGACCCTAGTGACCAATCCAGCTTCCTCCATTCCATTACACTCTAGCCCAGAGGACGGGTTGGGGTTATCAGGTATTCCTTTCGTATTCATAAAACCTGGCACTGGTGTCGCTGATATGGCTTTATTAGGTTTGTCTGATACACTGTTGAAACTACCCACTGGCCTTATTTGGAGAGGTGAGGCAGTCAGAGCCCCCGAAGACCTCATGCCTAAGATCTCAGTCGCAGCAACTGAATGAAAGATACGGTTCCTGCTGGAAGGTTAAGGACTCCTTCAGCCAAGGAGAGTAGCAGAATCACAAAAAACTGAAGGCAGATAAGTCTTCTTTCTCTCTCAATCTCTCTCTCTCTTTTTTATTCAAGAGACAGGCTCTCACTTTTGTCACCCAGGTTGGAGTCCAATCATGCAATCATAGCTCACTGCAGCCTCCAACTCCTAGACTCAAACAGTCCTCCTACCTCAGCCTCCTGAGTAGCTAGGACTACAGGTGCTCACTACCATACTCAACTATTTTTTTTAAATCTGTTTGTAGAGACAGTGTTTCACTATGTTGCCCAGACTGGTTTTCAACTCTTTTTTTTTTTTTTTGAGCCAGAGGTTCGCTCTTGTTACCCAGGCTGGAGTGCAATGGCGCGATCTCGGCTCACCGCAACCTCCGCCTCCTGGGTTCAAGCAATTCTCCTGCCTCAGCCTCCCGAGTAGCTGGGACTACAGGCGTGCGCCACCATGCCCAGCTAATTTTTTTGTATTTTTAGTAGAGACGGGGTTTCACCATGTTGACCAGAATGGTCTCGATCTCTTGACCTCATGATTCACCCGCCTTGGCCTCCCAAAGTGATGGGATTACAGGTGTGAGCCACCGCGCCTGGCCTGGTTTTCAACTCTTTTTTTTTTTTTTTTTGAGACGGAGTTTCGTTCTTGTTACCCAGGCTGGAGTGCAATGGCGCGATCTCGGCTCACCGCAACCTCCGCCTCCTGGGCTCAGGCAATTCTCCTGCTTCAGCCTCCTGAGTAGCTGGGATTACAGGCACGCGCCACCATGCCCAGCTAATTTTTTTTTGTATTTTTAGTAGAGACGGGGTTTCACCATATTGACCAGGATGGTCTCGATCTCTCGACCTCGTGATCCACCCGCCTCGGCCTCCCAAAGTGCTGGGATTACAGGCTTGAGCCACCGCGCCCGGCCTGGTTTTCAACTCTTAACCTCAACTGATTCTCCTGCCAGGTGCAGTGGCTCATGCCTGTAATCCCAGCACTTTGGGATGCCAAGGAGGACAGATCTTGAGGTCAAGAGGTCAAGACCATCCTGGCCTACATGGTGAAACCCCATCTCTATTAAAAATACAAAAAAATAGCTGGGCATGGTGGCACATGCCTGTAGTCCCAGCTACTCAGGAGTCTGAGGCACGAGAATCGTTTGAACACAGGAGGTGGAGGTTGCAGTGAGCTGAGATCACGCCACTGCACTCCAGCCTGGTGACAGAGCGAGACTCCATTTCAAAAAAAAAAAAAAAAAAAGGGCCAGGTGCGATGGCTCACGCCGGTAATCCCAGCACTTTGGTAGGCTGAGGCAGGCAGATCACCTGAGGTCAGGAGTTCAAGACCAGCTCGGCCAACATGGTGAAACCCCGTCTCTACTAAAAATACAAAAATTAGCTGGGCATGGTGGCTTGGCACCTGTAATCCCAGCTACCTGGGATTCTGAGGCAGGAGAATCACTTGGAACCAGGAGGCGGAAGTTGCAGTGAGCTAAGATTGTGCCACTGTACTCCAGCATGGGTGACAGAGCAAGACTCTGTTTAAAAAACAAAAAATGCAATTGTTATCAAGAGGCTGTCCTTGGCTAAAGTAATTAAAGTTCCTACCTCTTTGCCAAACACCCAAGAGCAAAACTGTGATGTAACCCTAGCAGTTCCCAAAGGCACATGACTAAGCCTTAGGCTGGCTTGGACACACCTACAACCCCAGGGCCAACCTTTACCTCTTCTCCATATCTAAACTTCACCTTGGCTGGGCACAGTGGTGCACACCTGTAATCCCAGCACTTTAGGAGGCCAAGGCATGTGGATCACTTGAGCCCAGGAGACCAGCCTGGGCAATGGTGAAACCCTGTCTACACCAACAAACTATAAAAGTTAGCTGGGCATGGTGGCACACACTTGTAGTCTTAGTTCCTTGGGAGGCTAAAGTGGAAGGATCAACTGAGCTCAAGAAGGTTGAGGCTGCAGTGAGCCATGATCACACCACTGCACTCTGGCCTGGGAGACAGAAAGAGACCCTGTCTCAAAAAACAAACAAGAAAAAATACAAATAAAATGGGGACAGGCATGATGACTCACACCTATAACACTAGTACTTTGGGAGACCAAGGCAGGAAGATCGCTTGAAGCCAGAAAGGAGTTCGAGAGTAGTCTGGGCAACATAGGGAGACTCTGTCTCTACAAAAAATGAAATAAGAAAAAAATTAGGCCAGGCACAGTGGTCCATACCTGTAAACCAGCACTTTGAGAGGCCGAGGCAAGAGGATTGCCTGAGCCCAAGAGTTCAAGACCAGCCTGGACAACACAGCAAGACCCCATCTCTACAAAAAATATAAAAATTAGCCAGGTGTGGTGGCTCACGCCAGCTACTTGGGAGGCCAAAGTGGGAGCATCTCTTGAGCCAAGGAGGTCAGGGCTGTGGTGAGCGATTATCATGCCACTGCATTCCAGCCTAGGCGACAGAGCAAGACTCTGTCTCCCGACACAAAAAAAAATCCAATATGAAATAGTAAGTCCATCTGGGCATGGTGGCTCATGCCTGTAATCCTACCACTCTGGGCAGCCAAGGCGGGTGGATCACCTGAGGTCAGGAGTTCAAGACCAGCCTGGCCAACATGATGAAACCCCATTTCTACTAAAAATAAAAATTAGCTGGGCGTGGTTGCACATGCCTGTAATCCCAGCTACTTGGGAGGCTGAGGCAGGAGAATCACTTGAACCTGAGAGATAGAGGTTGTAGTGAGTCAAGATCACGCCATTGCATTCTAGCCTGGGAGACAGACCAAGACTCCATCTCAAAACAAAACAAAACAAAAAAATAGCTAAGTCCTCAACTTCTAGCTTCCACTCAAGGATGGATAGCATCATTCCCACTCCAGTGACAAACAACAATTTTTCTTTGGGTAACCAACTAGACTGATGGAAAGACAGCCACCTCCAAGGAGAAAGAGAGATATAAGGTCTGGCTCGCCTGTGGTAGTGGAAGAGATGAGACCACCATTTAGGTGAATCAGAAGAATTCAGGTAAATTTTTTAACAAATTACCAAATGTCAAGTGTGGGTTAGTAAGAGCCACAGACACTCAGGTTTTTTCTACAGACCTCAATGGGTACTCGAAAGAAATACTGGGCAGGTAACCTGAGAAAACTTCACTTGGTAGTGCTGGCTTATGGGAGGAAAAACACCAAGGCCAACCTACACCCTTCTCCTCTAAAGAATAAAAGCCATAAACCCCTGGGAAAGGGCAGCAAACTCTGTCACTCCTAAGGCAGCTGGGGCAGGATAAAAGGAAAAAACAAACCCCTATGCCTGGAGGAGTAGGAAATTCTGGACAAGACCACTAAAGGGGTCTGTCCTCTGGGAAAAGACCCAGAAAGATCCACTCCCAAGACCCAAGGAAAACGACAGGGCCTCCCTAAGATTGAGGCTGAACCAGGACAACAGAGAAACCTCTGCTCCCTACCACCAGGTTAGCAAGCACCCAGGGACAAACAATAGCAGTCTACCATTGAGACTGTGCCTGAGGCATAGGTGCACAGACAAATCCTAAAGCTGAGTGAGAGTGGCTGGATGCAGTGGCTCACACCTGTACTCTCAGCTACTCTGGAGGCTAAGGCTGGAGGATCACTTAAGGTGAAGAGTTTGAGACCAGCCTGGACAACATGGCAAGACCCTATCTCTAAAGAAAAAAATTAAAAAGTAGCCAGACATGATGGCACATGCTTGTAGCCCCAGCTATTTACTCAGAAGGCTGAGGGGGAAGTTTGAGCTCAGGAGTTGGAGGCTGCAGTGAACCATGATGGCACCACTGGCACTCCAGCTCGGGTGACAGAGTGAGATGACCCAGTGAGATCCTTTTTCTTTGTTTTTTGTTTTAATCACCCAGGCTGGAGTGCAGTGGTGTGATCTCGGCTCACTGTAACCTCTGCCTCCAGGGTTTGAGCGATTCTCCTGCCTCAGCCTCTTGAGTAACTGGGACTACAGGCAGACACTACCACGTCTGGGTAATTCTTTTGTATTTTTAGTAGAGATGGGGTTTCACCATGGCTGGTCTCCAACTCCTGGCCTCAGGTGATCCACCCACCTCGGCCTTCCAAAGTGCTGAGATTACAGAAGTGAGCCACCTCATCTGGTCCCAAGTGAGACCTTTTCTCTGAAAAAAATTAATAGATGGGGGGAGGGGGGAAAGAGAAAAATAAATAAATAAACAAACAAAAAAACAAATAAAGCTGAGGGCATGGATGAAGGATAACCACTGAGAAAAAGCCTCCCTCCAGCAAACCAACTGTAATCTGGCAAGAAAACACAAGAGGAATTTGAAGCCACTGGTGCACCTAACGTAACCATAGCAACAATAAAACCCAAACACAACTGTCTCCTGACTAGGAGTTCAAACTCCGATACAAACAGTCTAGCAAAAGAAGAGCTGTAACTTCTTCTCAAAATAAACACTATATATCTCAGTTTCTACTGCTCCACATACTGTATCCGCAGTCAATAACAAGATACAAACAACATTTAAAAAGCAAGAAAAACAACACACTATCAAGAAACAAAGTAATCAACAGGACCACACTTAGAGATGACCCAGATAATGGAAACATCAAACAAGGAATTTTTTTTTTTTTTAGGAGATGGGGTTTCACCATGTTAGGCAGGATGGTCTCGATCTGATCCCATGATCCGCCCGCCTCGGCCTCCCAAGGTGCTGGGATTACAGGCGTAAGCCACCGTGCAGGGCCAAATCATTGTGTTTGATACATTAAAGGCTCTAATGAAAAAGTTGAACAGCATGTGGAAACAAATGTGGAACTTCAGCAGTGAGATGAAAACCAAAAGGCTCAAAATGGAAAAAGTGAAAAAATAGAACAAAACATTGAACAGCTGTGGGGCAATAACAAATAGCCGAGGTAAATATTTTTTAAATACATTTTTGCTCTCTTTTAATATATTTTTAGACTATAACTGACTACCCAAAGGAAAAACAGTAGCAATGTATTATGGGATTATAGAATATTTAAAAGTAAAAATGTCAAGCCCGACACAGTGGCTCATACCTATAATCCCAGCACTTTGGGAGGCTGAGGCAGGTGGAATCACTTGAGCCCAGGAGTTTGAGACCAGCCTAGGCAACACGGCAAGAGCCTGTCTCTACAAAAAATACAAAAATTAGGCATGGTGAAGAGTACCTATAGTCCCAGCTACTCAGGAGGCTAAGGGAGGATGATCCCTTGAATCCAAGAGGCAGGGGTTGCAGTGAGCTGAGACTGTACCACTGCACTCCAGCCTGGGCACTTGAGTGAGACTTGGTCACCAAAAAGACAAGTAAAGCATCTGGACAGTCGCAGTGGGAGGCCAAGATGGGAGAGAGGAACACTTGAGGCCAGAAGTTCAAGACCAGCCTGAGCAACTTTTCTGTCTCTACAAAAGGAAGAAAAGAAGGATGGATGGATGGATGGATGGATGGATGGATGGATGGGAGCGTGGGAGAGTGGGAAGGGAGAGAACTGGCTATGTTAACATCAGACATTTTCTGTCACAGTACTTATTCTTCAGGTAACAATTGATAAAGGAAAATAAATAATGGCAAAAAGCTGCTAAGACTTGGTTTTGAAAGAATTTGCATTTAATTAATCACAACAGTAGCTATATATATTCCAAAAACAGCAGTTCATACCTGTGTGAGACACGTCTATGCTATCCTCAGAGTAGATCTGCAGACCCTCTGCAACAATAGAATGAAAATCGCTGATTCAAGAAGCCAATCATTAAGACATTACCTCCAGCTAAGCATTATGAGAGGGTCATCAAAATTCTACCAGATCACCCTTTTGAATTGGCTATACTTGTCCCTCAATTTGTATCTAATTGATAAGAGAAATTGATATTCCCAATTAGTTATAGATGCAATGAAAAAACAAGACAGAGAGAAATTGGTATGTGAGGATCACACACAATATCAATCTCTCTTAGCCTGGGTAACAGGTCAAAACCTAGTCTCTACAGAAAAATACAAAATATTAGGCTGGTTGCAGTGGTTCAAGCCTGTAATCCCAGCACTTTGGAAGGCCGATGTAAGAGGATGGCTTGAGGCCAGGAGTTTGAGACCAACCTGGGCAACATGGCAAAAACAAAAATTTTTTTTAAATTTATAAAAATTCCAGCCATGCACAGTGGCTCATGCCTGTAATCCCAGCATTTTGGGAGGCTGAGGCAGGTAATCCCAGCACTTTGGGAGGCTGAGGCAGGCGGATCACCTGAGGTCAGGAATTCAAGACCAGCCTGACAAACACGGCAAAACCCCGTCTCTACTAAAAATACAAAAATTAGCCAGGCATGGTGGCAGGCAACTATAATCCCAGCTACTCGGAAGGCTGAGGCAAGAGAATCGCTTGAACCCCGTAATCAGAGGTTGCAGTCAGCCAAGGTCACACCATTGCACTCCAGCCTGGGGGACAAGAGCAAGACTTTGTCTCCAAAAAAAAAAAAAAGTTCCTGCAGTCTCCAGCACCAGATAATAAAGGAACTGAACAGACCACTAAAATTTCCACATGAAAATTTAACCAGGAAACTGCCACAAGAAATTTTGGAATAAATGAATTTATCACAATTCAATTACATCAGAAAACAATGAGACGAATGGAGGAAAAAGTTCAATTACAAAGGAAGTTTTACAAACTAGATTTAAAACCAAAAATTCTTTAATGACGAGAGGGAAAAATGCTATTGAGACTGTTTAGAAAAACTCAAAACCATTTTTACTGTGTACTCTCACATGACAACAATCAACACAGAAGATTTCTGTGACCAAATGCGGAGTGGTGGGGGGGTTCCCCACTAACAAGCAATCAGTTCTCCCAGGGGAGACCAACGGAGTGTCCTCCAGTTCAATTCTAACACTGTCTACCAAGACAGCATCAGATCCCACATGGAGAAGGCTCGGTCCCACGAGACCACCCCTCCCCCACAGGACACTGGGCGCAAATCCAGGCCTCCTGGGTTCAAGCAATTCTCCTGTCTCAGCCTCCTGAGTAGCTAGGATTACAGTATTCTACGTATTTTAGGAGTTGTATGCTCTGAAACGGGGCTGAAGACCAAACTCTTTCAAGTTGGGGCTCCCAAGACCCCTCTTTGAGTCCGATTAATTTACTAGAGCAGCACACAGAACTCAGGGAAACACTTACTTACCTTTACTGATGTATTAGAAAAGGTATTAAAAGGATACAGCTGAAGATGTGTGCAGAGCCAGGCATGAGGTAAGGATCACAGGCATTCCTTGTCCTCCCAGGGAGAAGTACCCTCCAGTAACCTCCACTTGTCCAGCTATCCGAAAGCTCCCTAAACCCCAGCCTCTTAGGTTTTTATGGAGGCTTCATTACACAGGCACAAGTGATTAAGCCACTGGCCATTGGTGATCAGCTTAACCTCACCCTCCTCCTTCTCCCCTCCCCAGAGGTTGGGGGTGGGGCTCAAAGTCCCAACCCTCTAATCCTGACTTGGTCTTTCCAGTGACCAGCCCCCATCCTGAAGCTCTCTGGGGGCTGTCAGCCACCAGTCAACTTATCAGCATACAAAAAGACATTACTTTGGTCTAAGTATTTTAGGAATTGTATGCTAGGAAATGGAGCTGAAGATCAAAACATATTTTGCTATATCACAGAGAAATACATCAAAATCATTTTATTTCCCCCTCTGGTTGAATCAAAATCTTTTTTTTTTTTTAGCCTTTTTTTTTTATTCCTTCTTTTTGAATCAAAATCTTAACTATGGTGAAAACACAGAAGGCTTTCTTATTTACACCTCTCTGAGTTACATATTGTCCACAATTATATGAATTAGTATGTTCTATTGTTTTGTTTTGTTTTTCAAAAAATAAGACCGGGTACGGTGGCTCACACCTGTAATCCCAAAACTTTGGGAGGCCGAGGCAGGTGGATCACGAGGTCAGGAGTTTAAGACCAGCCTGGCCAAGATGGTAAAACTCTGTCTCTACTAAAAATACAAAAAAATTAGCCAGACATGGTGGTGGGCGCCTGTAATCCCAGCTACTCGGGAGGCTGAGACAGGTTGCAGTGAGCCTAGACTGTGCCACTGCACTCCAGCCTGGGTGACAGAACAACATTCCATCTCAAAAAAAAAAAAAAAAGACGGGAGTAAGGTCTCACTATGTTGACCAAGCTGGTCTCAAGCAATCCTCCCATCTCGGTCTCTCAAAGTGCTAGGATTACAGGTGTGACCCACCATGCCAGACCTGCATTAGTTTTTTTAAATGCTCAAACTTAGAAAAAAAATACATTTATTGTACTGGTTTCTTAATCAAATAATGAAATCAAATAATTAAAATTATGTGTCCCTTTATTCTTAGGAAACCAGGAGACTCAAGATATTTCAGCTCCCAATCACAGTAGGTAAGACAGCCTCACTTTCATGGCTTTGGTTTTCTATATTTTTAACAACCTCATTGTTAAGTATCCCTCAGTAAAATCCACCACAGGCTGGGCGCTGTGGCTCCTGCCTATAATCCCAGCACTTTGGGAGGCCTAGGCAGATGGATCACCTGTGGTCAGGAATTTGAGATCAGCCTGACTGACATAGAGAAACCCCATCTCTACTAAAAATACAAAATTAGCCGGGTGTGGTGGCACATGCCTGTAATCCCAGCTACTTGGGAGGCTGAGGCAGGAGAATCACATGGGAGGCAGAGGTTGCAGTGAGCTGAGATCGCACCATTGCACTACAGCCTGGGCAACAAGAGTGAAACTACATCTCAAAAACAAAAAAAAGCCGGGCGCGGTGGCTCAAGCCTGTAATCCCAGCACTTTGGGAGGCCGAGGCGGGTGGATCACGAGGTCAAGAGATCGAGACCATCCTGGTCAACATGGTGAAACCCCGTCTCTACTAAAAATACAAAAAAGTAGCTGGGCATGGTGGCACGTGCCTGTAATCCCAGCTACTCAGGAGGCTGAGGCAGGAGAATTGCCTGAATCCAGGAGGCGGAGGTTGCGGTGAGCCGAGATCGCGCCATTGCACTCCAGCCTAGGTAACAAGAGCGAAACTCCGTCTCAAAAAAAAACAAAAAAAATAACAAAAACAGCCGGGCGCGGTGGCTCAAGCCTGTAATCCCAGCACTTTGGGAGGCCGAGGCGGGTGGATCACAAGGTCGAGAGATCGAGACCATCCTGGTCAACATGGCGAAATCCCGTCTCTACTAAAAATACAAAAAACTAGCTGGGCGTGGTGGCGTGTGCCTGTAATCCCAGTTACTTAGGAGGCTGAGGCAGGAGAATTGCCTGAGCCCAGGAGGTTGCGGTCAGCCAAGATCGCACCATTGCACTCCAGCCTGGGTAACAAGAGCGAAACTCAAAACAAACAAACAAACAAACAAACAAACAAACAAAAAACATGACAATTATTCTTTAGAAAAACATGTAATACAGCTGGGTGAGGTGGCTCACACCTGTAATCCCAGCACTTTGGGAGGCTGAGGCGGGTGGATCACAAGGTCAAGAGATCAAGACCATCCTGGCCAACATGGTAAAACCCTGTCTCTACTAAAAATACAAAAATTAGCTGGGCGAGGTGGCAGGTACCTGTAATCCCAGCTACTTGGGAGGCTGAGTCGGGAAGAATCACTTGAACCCAGGAGGCAGAGGTTGCAGTGAGCTGAGATTGCCCCACTGCACTCCAGCCTGTCAACAGAGCAAGACTTCATCTCAAAAAAACAAAAAACGAAAAAGAAAAAGGTGTAATATAAATACATAATTTATTTTTATAATTAGCATTAACATGTAACATTAAAGAGTTCTTAATTTATTTTTTTATTTTTTATTTTTATTTTTTGAGACGGAGTTTCGCTCTTGTTACCCAGGCTGGAGTGCAATGGCGCGATCTCGGCTCACCGCAACCTCCGCCTCCTGGGTTCAGGCAATTCTCCTGCCTCAGTCTCCTGAGTAGCTGGGATTTCAGGCACGTGCCACCATGCCCAGCTAATTTTTTGTATTTTTAGTAGAGAGGGGGTTTCACCATCTTGACCAGAATGGTCTCGATCTCTTGACCTCGTGATCCACCCACCTCGGCCTCCCAAAGTGCTAGGATTACAGGCGTGAGCCACCGCGCCCGGCCCCAAAGTTCTTAATTATGTATAAGCCATTCTCTTTACTACTACTGTGTTCACACCTATACAAATAAGTAAAAGCTTTTTTTTTTTTTGAGATGGAGTCTTCATCTTGTTGCCCCGGCAGGAGTGCAATGGCTCGATCTCGGCTCAGTGCTACCTCCGCCTCTCAGATTCAAGCGATCCTTCTGCCTCAGCCTCCTGAGTAACTGGGATTACAGGTGAGCGCCACCACTCCCAGCCAATTTTTGTATTTTTAGTAGAGACGAGGTTCCTCCATGTTGGGCAGGTTGGTCTTGAACTCTCGACCTCAGGTGATTCGCCCACCTCAGCCTCCCAAAGTGCTGGGGTTACAGGCATGAGCCACTGTGCTGGGCCTAAAAACTCTTTGTAAATCACACAGAAGAAAACGGACAGAAGACAGCCAACAATATTCACCTGTCGAGAAATACACGAACATCACACTTTCACAAGCTACCTCCTCATAAATTCAGTAATGAGAAGGAAATGAAGTCCCCCGCAGCAAGGCCTAATTCCACTTGTCTGCCTTGGCCATGTAATCTCTGCAACAAAGAGTGGGAGGGAACTGATTAAAAAATGAACCCTTCTAACCTGAGAAAGCTGATTTTAAAATATATACATATAAGTGTATATGTACACACACACATATATATAATTTTTTAAAATGAACTAAGAAAGCAGCAGAATATTTCCTGGCAAAATCTAAATTTTACATGCCCGGCAGGGGCAGTCCTAATTACTGAGAGGTCCCATGACACCCACAGGGTGGGTATGACTGAAGTAGCCAGCCCAAACCTGTCAGAGAACTGGCCTTGTCACATTAAATCATGCATGTCTAGGCAGCTCTGGGGCCCCAGGTCCCGTGGGCACCGTTTGCATAACTCTTTTAGGAAAGAATCTACATCCTAGAGACTACAGCAGGCAGCACAAAGGTCAGGACATTTCTTCTACTAAGAAATTCCAGGGAGGCTGGGAGCGGTGGCTCACGCCTGTAATCTAATCCCAGCACTTTGGGAGGCCAAGGCTGGTGGATCCCTTGAGGTCAGGAGTTCGAGACCAGCCTGGCCAACATGGTGAAACCCCATCTCTACCAAAAATACAAAAATTAGCCAGGCGTGGTGGCACGTATCTGTAATCTCAGCCACTGGGGAGGCTGAGGCAGGAGAGTCCCTTGAACCTGGGATGTGGAGGTTGCAGTGAGCTGAGATTGCACCACTGCACTCCAGTCTGAGGGACAAGAGTAAGACTTCATTTCAAAAAAAAAAAAAAGGAAGAAATTCCAGGGAGATGGAGATCATAAAACTGGTATAAGCAATAAAAATACATCCACGGCCAGATGGGGAAGGAGGACAAGGGGAGGAAGACAGTAGAAAATCAGGCTGGTGGTTTTCCACACACTTGTCAGGAAAAGAAACCCCAGTGTAACGACTTGAATGACGTTCTGAGATCAAAGTTGGGAAGCAAAAGTCACCAATGCAGCATACGTGGAACCTGAGTAACGCAGGCAGCCTGGGCAGGTCCCCAAAGGGCCTCACCGCCACCAAAAAGAGGTGGAACTGATGTCAGGAAGCAGCAGTCACAGCCTTTCAAGTCTGCTGCTCCCGGATCTGAAATCTGGGAGCAGCTCTGAGAGATAAGCAAGCTCCGAATCGCTGGGCACTGAAGTGCTGCGCTGCAAGCTGAGCTGGCCCTGCCTTTTTCCCCCATCAAGGGCAGAGACTGAATTCTTTTAAACTGTGTCACAAAGCTCAGGGCACACAAGAGGTACTCAAAAACGTATTCGCCGACACCCTGACTCCTATTTATATTGACCATTACACAACATGTTTGCTTGGAGCCCAGTGAAGGATTTTCAGAATGTTTCACGTCTGTCTCCCCACATTTAGGACAAGAGATAGTCACACAAGATGACAGACTGTGGGGACGCTCAAAAAGAGCCATCATCACCGGGGGCACGAGAGTTCCCCAGCGCCAGCAGCCCAACGCTCCTGGCCCCAGCACGCCACAAAACCTTGCGGCATTCTCTAAAGTCAGTGGACTGATTTTAAAATGAGAATCGTCATTCTTGCGACAGCTCCCAGAAGCCGGGCTCCTGCGGTCCTGAGCCCGCGTCTTTCTCCGCCCCGCCGCGGCCGCCACACAGCACAGGGTCTCCGTCCTGAAGTCGGGGGCGCAGTCACAGACCCTCTCAGGGCCGCCGTCGCACGGTCTCCCCCTCGCGGCGTGGCCCGCGCACTCAGCGTCCCGGTCACCCTCGCACCTGGGGTTCCCCTCTCTACACACACCCGGGTCTTCCTCACACGCGCCGCGTCGCCGGCACACTCCGGGGCCGGCTCCCCCACGGTCACCATCAGCCTCCGGGGCTCGTGCTCACGCAGCGTTTCCCCCACACTCGGTCCTCACGCCGGAGGTCCCTCTCCCCTCGCGGTGCCGCTCCTCACCCGCGGCGCCTCTCGGGCGGCCCCAGCCGGCCAGCCCCGCGCAGTTTCCGGGCCGCATCCCGCTCCGGGTGGCGGCGGCGAAGACCAAGAGGGTTCGGCTCCCGCAGAACGCGGCCCGGTCCTGGCCCTGCTCCCCGCGCGCCCGCCCACGGCCCGGCCCGTTACCTCTCGGTGGCCGGACGCCGCCAGGATGCTCGGTCGCGCCGCCGCCGCCACGGCCGCTCAGGCCCCGCCCCGCCACGTCATCCGCCCCCGGATCGCGACAGCGCGCGCCGCGTCGGGATAGAGTTCCGCTAGGGGCCCGCTGGCGGCGGCGTTTCCAGGCCCCTGTGGCCGCCACGGCCTGGCCGGTACCGGGTCTGCAGGCCCGGCCCGTGTGCGCGGACGCCCCACAGCCCCCAGCGGCCTCGACGAGTCCGGGCCACCCTCGCCGCCCTGGAGTCACACGGAGACTTCAAGGGCGTCCACACCGGGACATTCCCGCGGGGAGCTCACATCGGCCCCCGCACCCGGTTCCTATCTTGCCCTTGGCCTGGGCCCGGCGCCCAGGGGGTCCCCTGCAGCTCACACAGAGATCTAAACGGTCTCCGCCGGGCCGTCGCCCTCCCACCCCTCCACCCTCCCATCCCCCGCCTAGGAACCCCACACAAGGCAGACTCTGCAGGCTCTTTCGGCCAACCCCAGGCCTCCCTGGAGCTCTGTCCTCATCTTCCCTGTCCCTGCTGCCACCTCTTTTGGGGGAGCTGCACGTCCTGCCCCCTTCCCCTCCTTCTGTTTGCTCCTCCATCTTCCTCTTCCTCTGGTGGCTCTGGGGCTCTGTCTAGAGCCTCCTGACCTCATGAGCCCCTGAGCCCGCCACCGAAATTTCCTGTCCACACCTCAAGCACTGATTTTCCCCAGGGCCCTGGAGTCTTTTCACCCGGCCATATGACCACAAGTGCACATCCTCTGGTTCCAGACCACACCCAAGACCCTGCTCCCTGCTACCCAGTCAGAAACAGGCAGCACCCCAGACCCTTCCTCCCTCTCCTCCTAGGGCCTACACCCTGTCTTCTCCCCAGCCACAATGACTTCCCAATCCCAATCCTGCTCCCCTTAACTTATCTCCGCAGAGTGGGGGATGCTCCTAAAATACAGACTGTGGTGACTTTGTATCTCCCCTGCCTAAAAACCCTTCCATTCTCCTCCCTGCAGGCCTGGGATGACAATGCTTGAGGAGCCCTCGCTGCTGCTGCCCTCCTGCCTGCCCTCTGCTTGGAACACCTCCGCTAAGTGTCAGTGAGGGGATGTATACACTTGGATCAATTGAGTCGCACTCTTTGCCTCCCACCTCCCTGGCTGGGCAGAGGGATGGCTCTGGACACTTGTGTTGGCAGCCGGCCCACTTGTCCTTGCAACAGCTGCATGTAAGATCTGCCAGCTCCTGTGCCTCTGGCTTTGCAGTCTCACACCTAGTTACAGTAGCCCATCAGCTGAAAGCCCCGTGTACCCCACACCCTGAATCAGATGTTCTCCAACACCATCAGTGTTCCTCAGGACCACCCTGCAGAGTACATTTATTTTGTAACCATTCTTTTTTTTTTTTTTTTTTTTTTTTTTTTTTTTGAGATGGACTCTCCCTCTGTTGCCCAGGCTGGAGTGCAGTCATGCAATCTCAAGCTCACTGCAACCTCTGCCTCCCAGGTTCAAGCGATTCTCCTGCCTCAGCCTCCCATTAGCTGGGATTACACATGCCTGCCACCATGCTCAGCTAATTTTTGTATTTTTAGTAGAGACGGGGTTTTACCATGTTGGCCAGGCTGGTCTTGAACTCCTCCTCAGTGATCCACCTGCCTCAGCCTCCCAAAGTGCTGGGATTACAAACATGAGCCACCGCACCCAGCAACCATTCTTCTGCTTTTAGAGATAGGATCCCACTATTGCTCAGACTGGAGTGCAATGGCTATTCACAGGTGTGATCATAGCTCACTGCAGTCTCAAACTCCTGGTCTCAAGCGATCCTCCTGCTTCAGCTCAGCTTCCACTTGGGACTACAGGTTTATGAGAGTCTTGCTCTTTCTCTCCTGGGGTGGAGTGCAGTGGCACCATCTTGGCTTACTGCAGCCTCCACCTCCAGGGTTCCAGTGATTTTCCTGTCTCAGCCCCCTGAGTACCTAGGACTACAGGCATGTGCCACCACACCTGGCTAATTTTGTATTTTTAGTAGAGATGGGGTTTCACCATGTTGGCCAGGCTGGTCTTGAACTCCTGACCCCAGGTGATCCACTCACCTGGTCCTCCCAAAATGCTGGGATCATAGGCATGAACCACGGTGCCTAGCCTATTTCACCTTTAGAGGTAAAGTCCTACCCAGGCTGGTCTCAAACTTCTGGGCTCAAGCAATTCTCCCACCTTAGCCTCTTGAGTGGGTGGAACTATAAGCGTGCCAATGCACCCAGATGTCTCCTTTCTTTGGATGAGGAAACTGAGGGTCAGGAGGCTCCCCAGACAACTTGCCTGGAGCTAGTAGAGCTGAGATTTGAATCCTGGTGTGCTGTTACTAAAGCCTTCTCTGACTCCGTGCCCTCTCGATGCAGCTATGAAACTGACGGTGACAGCGAAGCTAAAATGGGTCAGAGGTGAGTGAGGTGCCATGAGTAGGTGGTTGTCAGGGCCAAGCAGGGAGTCAGATTGGGCAGGGCCTGGGGTGAAGCTCCCTTTCATGTTGTCATACTTTTACTGAGGCCAGAGCTGCAGCTGGACCAGAGTATTTTTTACCCCAGATATTTTTACCCCACTCTGGGTCACCCTGTCCTTCCAGGTTTGGCTACAGGTGGTGGTGAGAGGGTTTAGAGTGCCCTCTTGTGGTCTCTGGTATATCAAAGCCTGGCACCCTGGTTGCTGGGGCTCAGTGAAGACGGAACTGGGTACTGGCTAGGCTCTGGACTACAAAGTTCAGACCGAGACCCTATCCCTATCCATTTCCCTGTCTCTGTCTGTCTTGGTCTCTGTCTGTACTAGTCTCAGCCTAGTAGTGTATTTTCCTCCCTTGAGCTCTCTCATCTGTACCTCCCCAGGGGTACAGATAGCAGGTTGATGAGCTGAAGACACAAAGAAGGGTGGCATCCTAAAAAGAACTCTAGGTTCAAAGGATGCTGAGACTTGTAAGTTGAGGGAGGACAGAGGCTGGGAAGGAGGGTCTTGCCAGGGTGACCTGCAGGACTGTCCTTGCCCCTAGCTCCTGAGTGGCATGTGGGGCCTGCTGACTAGGCAGGAGCAGGGGAAGGACAGGACCCATTGCCACAGGAATGTTTCAGATTCTGGTTCTTAGTCCCAGAAGGGGAACTTGATTCCAGGAGAGGGCAGGAGGATGAAGTCCACAGAAGGGTACAGGAACCATGCTTTGGTGCTGAGAGAACCCATCAAGGCTCCTGTAAAGGCCCAGCCCCTAATTTCCTGCCTCTCTAGCCACCTTGAACCTCCATCACCCCCCTCCTCTTATGCTTAGAGCAGAGGATAAGCCAAGGTACCTTACAGCATCCAGAGTACTTTTATTGCCGGAATCCAGATACAGGCTGTTCAGAGCCCCATGCGGGGCCCACCACTCAGGAACAAAGGGAGAGACAAATGCCAGGCATGTATGCAACAGAGAAAATCCAGCTCCACAGAAACCCTGTGGGAGAGCAGCTTAGACCAGCCTGAAGGTAGCTTTTCGAACCCAGCCTAGAGGTTGGACCCTTCTCTTGGCCTGTAGCCAGTCACCCACTTAGAGCCTACTGCCATGAAGACAGGCCCTGACTCTCCGTGGCTACTGCCACAGGGAAACCCATGCAGCATCCTGGGGCAGACAGAAAGCTCCTAGGGGAGCCCCAGGGAACCCCTCACTCTCTCAGAGTCCCATTCAAGTTTCTAGACTAGTCCTGGCAGACTAAATACCAGTCAGCTGCCTGGTGGGAGTAGGTGCTGGGCAGGGTGACAGGAGTCCCACCACTTCTCAGCCCTGTGCCAACCCGCGTGGGTACTAGTGAGTCCCTAGGGCAGGGTGGCAGTGTGGTGGCGGGGTTAGCAAGAGGTGCAGCTCAGGGAAGCTGCGAGCAGCCTTGACTGCTTCCTTGGATTCCCTTTCTCCACAGGTGCCTAGAAGGCCATGGCTCCCACCCCTGCTGTCATCCTTGGAACAACAGTCCCAGGATGAAGTGGGGTAGCTTCAGTCCTAGGGCCAACAGCACATCTGAGGGAATCAGGGCTCCTGGGACACAGCCTGCAGGACTGGGGGCGCATCTGCTACCCAATCCAGAGCTTGACTGCTCCTGGCGGTAAGGGAGGTAGGAGTGAAGTAAAATGTCCCAGGGTCTGGGAACCATGAAGAACACAACAAACTGCCCCTGCCTGCAGGGGCTACTGGACTCGCCCCAGGAAGCCACAGTCAAGCTGGCTACCAGCTAAGCCACAGGGAAGCCAGCAGCTCTACTATCCATGGCCAATGGCAGGCCTACCTGTGGCCAGTGTGTGGGAAGGGTCACCCGATGGACCAGGAGCCCATCCCCGGGACCTTTGGGTACAGGACCACAGCACAGTAACATCCCTCATAGGAAGGCTGTGGGGTCAGGGCCCAGTGGGCAAGTATGAAAAGCCCATAGCGGTAGGGGGAACACATGGACCCAGTTAGGGATTGGGACCAGGGCCCAGCCAGTCCACCCTGCGGAGCCAGTCCTGAGGTCATAGCAATTCTACCATCAGCAGCATTCTTTCCATCCAGTGTCCCTTGAGTCCAGAATCTCATTTCTTCCTTCTTCACTGCCACAGACAAAGGATAACGAACGGCACTTCCCCACAGGAGATGCTTCACAGCTCAAGACTCAGGGCCTTGAATGGTCAGTCACAAACTTTGCAAAACTCATGGGCCATGACAGCCCCAGAGGCCAGGGGTAGGTCCATGGCCAAGCCATCCAGCCCTGCCTGGCACAGGAGTCAGGGCCCAAGGAGCACACGTTTCAGATAGGCCAGAGTGGTGGCGTTGGCTAGCATCTCGATGTGCTCGCTGCCTGGCAGCTCCTGCAGCAACACCTGGTGCTCCTGGTGGCTCTGCCAGGCCTGGCACTGCAGGGCACTCTGCAAGTTCACAGTACCATCGCCGTCACCAAAGCAGATTTTAGGGTCACGGTCAGGGAAGCTCTCATAGTAGAAGGAGTCTGGTGTGGGGACACCAGTGCCATAGAGGCAGTGCAGCTGCACACCAGGTGGCATTGAGGCTTCCACCAGCCCCTCTGTGTCCTGCCGCATGAACCAGCCATCTTCAAAGCCGATGTCCTGGAAGAACTTGCGGTAGTCTCGCAGCGTGTAGTTGATGGTGGGTGTCTGCACGAACACCTTTTCAGGTGACCAGGTATAGTTGTAGGGCAGTAACCAGCTGGTGGAGACAGCAGACCGCTGCTGCTCCCGGATCTTCAGGGGCCCGATGACTGGGATCCGGTTGTTGTCTCCTGCAGGGAGAAGGCTCCAGTCAGCCTGTGCTTAGGAACGCCAGCTGGTTGGGCAGCATGTTCACCACCAGGCCCCTGCCAGACCCCAGCTAGAGGCCCAGTCCACAGCCCCGCATCTCTACCCGGTTATTATCATTGTAGTAACTGTAACTCTCATCCCTGCCTTGGCTTTTTTTCTTCTTCTTGAGACGGGGTCTCACTCTGTTGCCCCCGCAACATCAAGGCTCACTGTAGCGTCCACCTCCCAGGCTCAAGCAATCCTCCTGCCTCAGCCTTCCGAGTAGCTAGGACTACAGGTTTGTGCCACCATGCCTCATGCCTGGCAAATTTTATTTTTCCTTTTCTTTTTTTTAATTCTGAGGCAGAGTCAAAATAAAAAAAAAAAAAAAAGGAAAAGAAAAAAAAATGCTTATAGCCATTACTGAGACAAAAAAAATAAAAGAAAAAGAGGCAGGGTCTCGCTCTGTCACCCAGGCTGGAGTGCAGTGGTACAATCTTGGCTTACTGCAACCTACACCTCCTGGGTTCAAGCAAACCTCCTACCTCAACCTCCTGAATAGCTGGAACTATAGGCACGTGCCACCATGCTGAATGTTTCTACTTTTTGTACAGATGGGGGTCTTGCTATGTTGCCTAGGCTGCTTGCCTTGGCTTTCATTGTTTCCCTTTATTTTTGGTACATCTGGGCAGCACACATCCAGATGTATTTTGTCTCTTTTGCTTTCCTCACCAGGGAGTGAGGCAGCATATACTCAAAGCGTGATTTACGATGCTTCCTTGTCTGTAAACTGTACCCTCCTCCAAGTGCTGATCAGGCCTGTGGGCACTGACCTAGTCTAAAGTGAGTCAGCAGGCTGGCAGCCCAGAGGTGATGACATGTTCTGCTTTTTCTTTCATGATAATAAACTGTGTACCAATTTTTCTTTTCATAGGCTCAGACCAGTGTTCAGCCAGCCGTGGTCTCATCCCTTCCACTTGCCTGTGCACTGACCTGGGCAGCCAGGCGTGCTAGAGACAGGGGAGGAGGGGAGGTTGCAGTTGGAGTTGGAGTCCCTGTACACAGGAATGTGAACAACACAAACAACCACCGCCGGGAGGCTCCAGGAAGTGAGCTGTAACTTGGGAACAGGGGCCTTTGGCCTGTTCAGGACCATGGTCGCCCATCACCTCACCCTGTATCTGAAAGTGAGGAGGCCCCTCGGACTGACTGTAGGGCCTCAGCTCTGCCTGCGGTGGCCTGGCTGTAGGACCCCTGAGGCAAGGAAAGCCCCTAGGGGTGCATGGACTTCCACCTCCCCACACTACACCCCCAGTCCTGGACTGCCAAGGCCAGACAGAACAGCTTCCCAGCCTCTGAAGCAAGACTCTAAGGGAACTCAAAGAGAAACTCTGAAAGGGGCTGGGGCCCAAATGCCACTGTGGCTACCTGTCTAAACTCAGGGTATGCCCACATCTGTCCCTCCAAGCCCAGGCTAGACAGAATGGGTGGCTATAATGAGTCCTCACTAAATCTGAATGTCCTCTAGCCAATTCACAGTCACTGGACCTGACCCAATCACAATGCCACTTGACCAAGCAGGTCACGAAGTGCCAGGGACTTGAGCTCACAAGATGCTTGGCATAGCTCTAGCTCACAGCTCCTAAAGTGAGGGTCCATAAGCCTCCCCCTAGTCCTAGCAAAGGGAGGAAAGCTCCCTCCTAGAGCAGGAAGCTCTACTCTACAGCTGCAGCTGGTGAGCTGCAACAGTCATGAAAAGATGGGGCAGAAGCCAAAAAGGGGTGGCTTTCCCAACTGCCAGGCAAGCAGGCCCAGCCAGATCTGCACCTGTTTCCTCCCTGTGTTGCCCACAGAGGCTCCTTGCTACCTACAGATGGAGGTGCAACTCATAAATAAAAAAAAAGTCTAGGGGCCAGGTGCCGTGGCTCACACCTGTAATCCCAGCACTTTGGAGGCCAAGATGGGTGATCATTCGTGGTCAGGAGTTCAAGACCAGCCTGACCAGCATAGTGAAACCACATTTCTAATAAAAATACAAAAAAATCCGGCTGTGTGCAGTGGCTCACACTTGTAATCCCAGCACTTTGGGAGGCCAAGGCGGGTGGATCACGAGGTCAAGAGATAAAGACCATCCTGGTCAACATGGTGAAACCCCGTCTCTACTAAAAAAAAAATACAAAAAATTAGCTGGGCATGGTGACATGTGCCTGTAATCCCAGCTACTCAGGAGGCTGAAGCAGGAGAATTGCCTGAACCCAGGAGGCGGAGGTTGCAGTGAGCCAAGATCTCACCACTGCACTCTAGCCTGGGCAACAGAGCAAGACTCAAAGAAAGAAAGAGAGGTCGGGGGAGAGAGGGAGAGAAGGAGAGAGGGAGAGAGAGAGAGAGAAAGAGAGAGGAGAGAGAGAGAGACGTACACAGATTACAAGGGCTATCAACTAGATGGGTGAAATTAGGAGTAGTGTTAGATTCTCTCTCTTTCATACCTAGTCCCCCAGAAGATTCTCTTCTGGAGAAAAAGATATTCGAAAAAGAACGGGACAGGGCAAGGTGGCTCATGCCTGTAATCTCAGCACTTCAGGAGGCTGAGGTGGGCAGATTCCTTGAGCTCAGGAATTCGAGATCAGCCTGGGAAACATGGTAAAACCTCTTCACTATACAAAATACAAAACTTAGCCAGATGTGGTGCGTGCCTGTGGTCCCAGCTATTCAGAAGGCTGAAGCCAGGGGATCATGTGAACCCAGCAGGTGAAGTTGCAATCAGCCAAGATAGCACCACTGTATTGTACTTCAGCCTGGGTGGACAGTGAGACCCTCCATCAAAAAAAGAAAAAAAAGAAGAAGAAAGAAGAAAGAAGAGGAGGAGGGGGAGGAGGGGGAAGGAGAGGGGGAAGGGGGGGAGGAGAGGAAAGAGGGGAAGGAGGGGGGTAGGAGGCAGGAGGAGGAGGGAGGGGGAGGAGGAGGCAGAGATGGGGGAGGGGAGAGGAGTGGGAGGGGGAGGAGGGGGAGGAGGAGGAGGGGAAGGAGGAGGAAGGGAAGGAGGAGGGGGAGGAGAAGGAGGGGGAGGAGGGGGGGAAGAGGAGGAGGTGGTTGCCACTCTGAAGTAAAAAAGAGTGCTGCCCCAAGAGAAGAGACATTGTGGAGACCAAAGCAACTCCATCTTGGATACTAATCCATCATGTTGGCTTCTGATTAACCCCAGATCCAGGAAGGCCATTAAGATTTCCACTTTATCTTCTGTCCCTTGTATAAGGGCACATACTTACTTTACCATAAGTGAAAACAGCCTCTGTGTTATCATCCTTCAATATCTAACACATCCCACCAGAGTCACCCTTTCCCTATAGAATATAAGCCCTAGGTCTGGGGGCTAATGGTGTGGGGATCTACCATCTGATCTTGCCACCACCTGAGACACAGATGTGGCTTCTACTCATATGTCCTATTAAATGTTTTTCTCTGAGAAACTAGGTTTGTCAGCCTATTTCTTGAAAAACTTTTTTTTTTTTTTTTTTTTTTTTGAGACAGAGTCTCACTCTGTCACCCAGGCTGGAGTGCAGTGGTGTAATCTTGGCTCACTGCAAACTCCGCCTCCCGGGTTCAGGAGATTCTTCTGCCTCAGCCTCCCAAGAAGCTGGGACTACAGGCGTATGCCACCATGCCCAGCTAGTTTTTTGTATTTTTAGTACAGACGGGTTTCATGGTGTTAGCCAGGATGGTCTTGATACTGTGACTTCATCATCCACCTGCCTCGGCCTCCCAAAGTGCTGGGATTACAGGCGTGAGCCACCACATCCAGCCTTTCTTCCTCCAACCTTTAGGGGTAGATTTGCATAGACCTCACACACTGTGGGACAGACATGAGGCATGCTGGCCCAGGGGGATAACTTGGAAGAAAGGGCAGAATTCCTGAAACCAGCCCCCCACAATGGGCCAGGTAGGGTCTTACCTGAAGCCAGGACGCGCAGGGTCTTGGCCACACCCCCCCAGGGTGCACCCAGTGCCACGAAGGCCCGGATATACTTGTCCTTCCAGGCCTGCGGCTGTCGCTGCAGAAAGTAGAGCGTGTACATGTTGCCCATACTGTGGGCAACCAGCACCACGGGGCCCCCATACAGCTGGTACATCTCCTCGATCATCTCGCGGAGGGCCAGGAAGTAGGGCCCGTTTTCATCTGCAGGCCAGAGCCAGGCAGGGGTCAGGTGGGTAGGGTCCTGGAGCCCAAACCACTGACCTTTTCTCAGGCCAGACCCAAGACTAGAAGGGAGGGGAGGGTGCTCACATTCAAACAGAGTGATCTGGGTCCCCCTCCCTTCCATGAAGGAAGGAAGCCTTATATTTCTCCCCAGGGCTCAGAGGTCCAGAGGTCCAGAGGTCCTGGGGTGGGAAATGGAGGATAGGACAAGACTGACCAAGGGTGTTGGCTGTGACCATTGGACTGGATGCCAGAGGCCCAGGGAAAGGGAACAACCAAGGACAAGGGGAGAACCCAAGGCCTGTGGTGGCCAAGATCACCTCGCCCCTACCTCCCGAGACTTCAGGGAGAGAACGAGAGTGCCTGCTTACTTGGGGCTCGGCGCCAGTCATAGGGGGCTCCTCGGACATCCTCACCCCGTGTGTAGCCCCAGCCCACAAGGCTCTCCACCATGGTGTGGAAATAGGAACCTGCAGAAAGAAATACAGAGGATAAAAAAAGCTACAGCTAGTGCCAGCCACCTCACTATGCCCAGCACAGAGACTGGCAGCTAGTGGGTCCCTGGAGGAATAATACAGGGCTCTGTGCCCACACTGATCAGAGACAGCTCACAGGCTGTCCCTACAAACAGCAGAGTTTCTCCAGCTCCATCTCCAGTTCCATTCCAGCAGAATCTCCACCCCAGCTCCCGGAGGCCTTGAGTAAGTCCCACATACCCACACTGCTTTTGCTGGGGTCCAGGAACTCCAGTGAGAAGGTCTTCCCAAAGCCAGGGACACGTACATCCACACCATCAGGAAACTGGGTGGCCCTGGATGTTTTGTTGTAAACCAGCCTGTCAGGAGAGGATATTGAGCCAGTGACCCAGAGGTGACACTGAGTTGGTGCATCCCGACACTGCATCGTGTCCTAAGTCATACTCCCTTCCCATGCCCAGGTTTGGTCAGATGGATAGGAGAGACCGGAAAGTAACAAAGCAGGTTTATAAAACACAAATCACCTGTAATCCCAGCACTTTGGGAGGCCAAGGCAGATGGATCACCTGAGGTCAGGAGTTTAAGACCAGTCTGGCCAACGTGGTGAGACCCCATCTCTACTAAAAATACAAAAATTGCCTGAGCGTGGTGGCTCACGCCTATAATCCCAGCACTTTGGGAGGCTGAGGCAGGCAGATCACCTGAGGTCAGAGTTTGAAAAAAGCCTCATCAACATGACGAAACCCTATCTCAACTAAAAATACAAAATTAGCCAGGTGCGAGGGCCAGGTGCAATGGCTCATGCCTGTAATCCCAGCACTTTGGGAGGCTGAGGCGGGTGGATAATGAGGTCAGGAGTTCAAGACCAGCCTGGCCAAGATGGTAAAACCCTGTCTCTACTAAAAATGTTTTTTAAAAATAGCTGGGTGTGGTGGCAGGTGCTTGTAATCCCAGCTACCCAGGAAGCTGAGGCAGAGAACTGCTTAAACCCAGGAGCTGGAGGTTGCAGTGAGCCGAGATTGTGCCACTGCACTCCAGCCTGGGTGACAGAGTGAGACTCTATTTAAAAAAAAAAAAAAAAAATTAGCCAGGTGTGGCGGCACATGCCTGTAATCCCAGCTACATGGGAGACTGAAGCAGAAGAATCGCTTGAATCTGGGAGGCAGAGGTTGCAGTGAGCTGAGATCGTGCCATTGCATTCCACTGTAGGCAACAAGACCAAAACTCTGTCTCAAAAAAAAAAAAGCACAGATCAGAGTAATTACGTCCAAATGAGGACCCCACCAAGGCATAGTTACTTTAAAGACTGACCCCAGGACCCCTGTCAAAGCAACACCCCCTTCTACCCTATGACCCTACCCTAGAATGAGGGTCTTGGACCTGGTTGAGAGAAGGAAGTGCCAGACCTGGTTCTGCTGTGAACTTCACACTGGACCCCAAGAGGCAGTCTACCCTCTTTCAGGTTCCCATTGCTCCATCTCCCTGAATCCAGCTCCTGCCACTCAGCATATTCCAAGCAAAGGAAATGGTGAGTGCAGTACACAACAGAACCAGAAAGGGGCCAGGCGCAGTGGCTGACACCTGTAGTTCCAACACTGCAAGGCCAAGGTGGGAGGAGTGCTTGAGGCTAGGAGTTCAAGGATAGCCTGAGCAATACAGTGGAACTTTGTTGCTACTAAACATCAAAAATTTTCTGGGCATGGTGGTGCAGGCCTGTGGTCCCAGCTACTTGGAAGGCTGAGGCAGGAGGATGACTTATACCTGGGAGATTAAGGCCACAATGAGCTGTGATCATGCCACTGCATGCTAGCTTGGGCAGCAAAGAAAGACTCCATCTCAAAAAAAAAAAAAACCAGTAGGCCAGGCACAGTGGCTCATGCCTATAATTTCAGCACTTTGGGAGGCTGAGGCAGGCAGATTATCTGAGACCAGAAGTGGTCTCTGGAAGAATGCTACAGGGCTGATTAGTAGAGACAGGGTTTCTCTACTAAAAACACAAAAATTAGCCAGGTGTGGTAGTGGGCACCTGTAATCCCAGCTACTTGGGATTACAGGAGAATTGCTTGAGCCTGGGAGGCGGAGGTTGCAGTGAGTCAAGATCTTGCCACTGCACTCCAGCCTGGACAACAAGAGCAAAACTCTGTCTCAAAAACAAAACAAAACAAAACAAAAAACAGGACAGGCAGCGTGCCCCAGGGCTGCTGTATGGGTGGATGGGCAGGTAGGAGACGGGTCAAGGCCCAGAGAAATGGTGGGAGCTGGTGGGGAGAGACAGGAGGAAGGCCTTGTGTGGCCCCAGGTAGGCAGAGTTGGGTCCCACTTCCTCTGGGCATTGGACACAGCAGCCAGCCAACCTCCAAATGTATCCTCCATGGAGGAAGGGAATGAACCATGGTCCTATGAGCTGCCTGGTACCCCAGGGCTGTATCACCTGCCAGACTGCAATCACAAGGCCCAGGGTTTACCCAGCAAATTCCTAAGTGCCATGACATAGGACATGGACCCCAGCTACTTAGTTCAGATCCCTAACAACCCTTTCTTAGTTTTTTTCTTCTTTTTTTTTTTTTTTGAGACAGAGTCTTACTCTGTTGCCCAGGCTGCAATGCAGTGGGGGAATCACTGCTCACTGTAGACATAACCTCCTGGGTGCAAGTGATCCTCATACCTCAGCCTCCTGAATAGCTAGGCAGGCACCACCATGCCTGGCTAATTTATTTATTTGTTTGTTTATTTATTTTGTAGGGACAGGGTCACACTATATTGTCTCACACTGGTCTCAAACTCCTGGGCTCAAGTAATCCTCCTTCCTCAGCCTCCCAAAGTGCTGGGATTACAGGTGTGAGCCACAGCACCCAGCCTATTAGTTTTCTAGAACTGTGTAATACAGTACCACAGACTCAGCAGCTTGTAACACCACACGTTATCTCATAGTTTCTGTAGCTTCAGTGCCAAACAGAACCAGACAACACAGACCCCACCGCAGGGCTCAGTACATGGCTGCTGTACCATCTCCTGTGGGAAGAGAGTTGTCAAGGCCTGAAGAAATGATGGAACAGAGCGAGGGCCAGGGAGATACCTTATATCAAAGAAAAGCCTTGCGCCTTTGTGCCAGGCCAGGAACCTTGCTCTGGCCTCCCTCATACCAAGAGGCAAATGTGCCCCCCAAAACACAGGAACCTGGAGCTGCTGGTGGTCCCAAGCCCCACTTGCCCCCTTAGATATCAGCCACAGAAAGCTGACAGAATCCCCACAAATGACCCAAATAACAGCTCCTGAGAGCCCATTCTCTCCAGGGCAATTTGTAGATTATCCCAACGGCCACAAAACAGAAGCAGAAAACTGTTCTGGAAAGTCAAAGCTGTTCTGCATTGGGGGAAAATCTAAAGGGGTCAGAGAAGCAGTGAAGGCAGACAGGTCCCCCCCCCATTGCTATCAGCTGGCAGCTCCAACTGGCAGCACCTGAGGCCGTGTCTCTAGTATAAAAATAGAAATGCACATCAACAGCCCAGAAATAACCCTGATCACACAACACACAGAGGAGGAAGGAGTCAGCAAAACGGGCATCAAAACAGCTGGCTGGCCAGGAAGGCTGGAGGAGCAGCTACCTAGTCTCTGGGAAAAACTTTTATTTTTTTATTTTTTTAAAGACAGAGTCTTGCTCTGTTGCCCAGGCTGAAGTGCAGTGGCACAATCTCTGCTCACTGCAACCTCTGCCTCCCAGGTTCAAGTGATTCTCCTGTCTCAGCCTCCCAAGTAGTTGGGATTTCAGGTGTATGCCACCATGTCAGGCTTTTTTTTTTTTTTTTTTCTTTTTTTTGAGACAGAGTCTCCCACTGTCACCAGGGCTGAAGTGCAATGGCTCAATCTTGGCTCACTGCAACCTCCACCTCTCAGGTTCAAGGATTCTCTTGCCTCAGCCTCCCAAGTAGCTGGGATTACAGGCACCCTCCACCATGTCCAGCTAATTATTTGTATTTTTAGTAGAGATGGGGTTTTGCTATGTTGGCCAGGCTGGTTTCAAACTCCTGACCTCGTGATCCACCTGCCTCAGCCTCCCAAAGTGCTGGGATTACAGGCATGACCCACTGTGCCCGGCCTTAATTTTTAGTAGAGACGGAGTTTCACCGTGTTGGCCGGGCTGGTCTTGAACTCCTGACCTCAAGTGATCTGCCCACCTTGGCCTCCCAGAGTCCTGGGATTACAGGCATGAGCCCCCACACCCATCTGGGAAAAACTTTTAATTTGGGAGACTCCATTCAACTTAGACATTTATCAGGCACCAGCTATGTTTCTGGTCCTACTGCTATAAAGATACAACAGAGATACATTCCCTCCTGACACAGAGCTCAACCTGGGAGGGAACCTCAGCTCAGAGCCACACATTCTGGGTTTGAATTCTGATTCTAACATTTATTAACTGAGTGAGCACAGGGAATTTTGTAACCTTGTTGAGCTTCCAGATTTCCCAGCTGTAAAGGAGGTTTAAAAACCACCTGTTGGCAAGTAACACTGGTGGGGGAAAAAAAAAGAAAGAAAACAGCACCTATTTCATAATGGGGTTGCTGCAAGACTGGTGAAAGCAAGCATATAAAATGTATAGTGCCTGTGCAATTTGGGGAAACATCCCTAGAGAGAAATTTGGGCAGGTGATGAGGTTTAGAGGAAACAAGCATGGGGCCTGGTAGAAGGAGAGGTGAACCGCTCTGCAGAGTCAAAAGGGAGATGTCAGCTGGGCACAGTGGCTCATGCCTGTAATCCCAGCACTTTGAGAGGCTGAGGCGGACGGACCATCTGAGGTCGGGAGTTCAAGACCAGCCTGACCAACATGGAGAAACTCTGTCTCTACTAAAAACAAAAAAAATCCAAAATTAGCTGGGTGTGGTGGCGCATGGGCCTGTAATCCCAGCTACTCAGGAGGCTGAGGCAGGAGAGTCACTTGAATCCGGGAGGTGGAGGTTGTGGTGAGCTGAGATTACACCATTGCACTCCAGCCTGGGCAACAAGAGCAAAACTCCATCTCAAAAAAAAAAAAAGGGGGGGGGGGCGGGGGAAGATGTCACAGAAGGACCAGGTTTTTGATTTGTTGTTGTTGTTTTGAGACAGGGTCTTGCTCTGCCACCCAAGCTGGAGTACAGTGGTGTAATCTCTGCTTACTGCAACCTCTGCCTCCCTGGCTCAACCGATTCTCCTGCCTTAGCCTCCCAAGTAGCTGGGACTACAGGCACATGGCACCATGCCTGTCTAATTTTTTTTTTTTTTTTTTTGGTAGAGATGGAGTTTCACCATGTTGCCCAGGCTTGTCTTGAACTCCTGAGCCCAGGTGATCTGCCTGCCTCAACTTCCTGAAGTGCTGGGATTATAGCACTTCAGGAAGTGCTATAAATGTGCTGCCATTCACCCTTAAAAACATGACCCTAAGCCACTGTGCCTGGCTTAGGGTCATGTTTTAAAGGGTGAATGGCAGCACATGTATCAGGCAAAGGTTGTAGAAGTAGATTCCAGGCCAAAAGAACAGCAGGGGCAAAGCCATGGCATGTCCCAAGAAGAACAAGCAGCTGGAGAGGCAGGGGAGGCCGAGTCACAGGCAAGGAAAGGGGCCATGCAGAGGCTCTGAATAGAGGCTGGGGCACGGAAATTGTGTGTAGGCAGGCACTGTGGCTCACGCCTATAATTCCAGCAATTTGGGAAGCTGAGGTGGGCAGACTACGTGAGCTCAGGAGTTCAAGACCAGCATGGCTAACATGGTGAAACACCATCTCCACTAAAAATACAAAAAATTAGCCAGGCATGGTGGTGGGTACCTATAGTCCCAGCTACTCAAGAGGCTTGAACTTGGAAGACAGAGGTTGCAGTGAGCTGAGATGGCACCAGCCTGAGTGACAGTGAGACTTCATCTCAAAAAAAAAAAAAAAGAAAAGAAAAAAATTGTGTGCAAACATGAGAGGCCAGGGCTGAAGAGTAGAGGAACAAGGGCAGCAGGAAGGGAAAGTTAGCTTTGCCTGGAGTGCAGAGGTGGTACCGACCAGACCAGACCAGATCAGACGGAGGAAGGAGAGAGGTCAATGACCTCTTGAGATGAGGATAGAAGAAACAGGCTCTGGAGGCCTCTCAGGCACTGTTGGTGAGCAGCACCCCCTCTGTGTGCCCCAGCCCCCACCTGATATTGTCAATCCAGCAGTCAATGATGACAGGCAGCAGCAGTTCCAGGTTCAGCCAGATTGTGAAGTAGCTTTCGGTCTTCTTGGAACAGAGGTAGTGCACCACTGTTGGCTTGTCCAACTTGGCTTCCAGTTGGTTGCCCAAATCACCAGGGACTGCAGGGGGCACAGGACATGAGTGAGCCCTCAGTCTAGCAGGTTTGAGACTCCCAAGAACTTTGATGTCTGCAGCAGGACCCCTGAAGAGCCACAGTTACTATGGCAGACCTCTGCAGTTCCACAACTCAAATTAAATCACAGTGCTGAGAGCAGGAAATTCAGAGAACAGGGACCTTGACTCAAAAACCAGGAACCATCTTTGTGGAGAAAAGCTGCTACTGTAGTGTGGTGCAGAGATGCCTGTGGGGGGCTAGTGAGAGGCCTGATATGTTTGAGGAAAGGCCCTAACATTGTCTCCCAACTCCAGATAAAGCAAGTCTTTTTATCTCCAGATAAAGCAAGTAGTTAGGTTCACTGGAACATCCTCCTGGGCCATTCAGATTATTGGAAGGGGGTTCAGGATGAAGTCACTCCCCATGCTAGGCCTCAGTTTCCATATCTGTTAAATGAGATCTTGGTCTGAATCGCCCCCTACATAGACATGCCTCTACACATAGTTTCTATGGTTGACAGACCCAGATGGAAGCTCTGCCTGGGAGGAGGGGCTTGCAGACCCCTTTGCATTCCAGAACCTCTAAAGTTTGACCAAGACCCTGTCATTAGATATATACCCTCGAGGCCAGGTATCGTGGCTCATGCCTGTAATCCCAGCACTTTGGGAGGCCGAGGCGGGTGGATCACTTGAGGTCAGTAGTTCAAGACCAGCCTGGCCAACATGGTAAAACCCCATCTCTACTAAAAATAGAAAAAGTTACCTGGGCATGGTGGCACATGCCCGTAATTCCACTACTACTTGGGAGGCCTGAGACAGAAGAATTGCTTAAACCCTGGAGGTGGAGGTTGCAGTGAGCCAAGACTGTGCCACTGCACTCTAGCCTGGATGACAGGACAAAACCTGGTCTCAAAAAAAAAAAAAAAAAAAAAAAAGATATATACCCTGGAGGCTTGAACCCAATAGTCTTCTACCCATAGCTATCCCAGGCTACAGAGAAGACAGGGCCCCATTCTCCCTGAGAGAGGGAGAAGAAAACAGAACAGACCCCTGGGTCACTTAGCCAAAATTCAATAGGAGAAAGTATCCAGGACAGGCTTGTAGGAGGAAAATGAACAGAAACACAGCGGAGAGAAGCTTACATTGGCACCTGCCAACCTACCAAGGGCCCAAGCCTTACTAAAGACCAGAGTCCAGTAAGGTTCCGGACAACAGATCATCTGGAGGGCCCTGGCATGGCTGGGAGCCTGTGTTGGAGACAGCCACCCTGAACCGGCACCATTCTCACCACAGTCCAGGCCCTAGGGTGACTTCTCTCCATCCCAGCCAGCCTATTCAGTCCACTCAGAACTCTGGGGCCCTGGTGACACCCAAGTCCCTCCTCACTGCTTCAAAGCTCTTCACAGTCTTGTTACTCACAGTGACCTTTCGGGCCTCACCTGCCCCTACAGGCCACGCTCTCGCCACTTCCCAAACACATCCCCGTTTGGGATCCGTGATCATCGAGTAAAAAACCAGCGCTTGGCTCTCCTGGACATTCACTGGACACTGACTATAAATCCAGTCCTGCATAGGGTGTGCCCTTCCTGAGCACCATCCCAGTGTCTTCAGGGTGCCATGGGAGGCAGGGGTGGCATCTGCCTTCACTTCCCTTCATGGTGTGGGTACAGAGGCAGGGAGTCCCCATCACAATAGCCTCTGGATGATATGCCTGTGGACTGGGCAAGGAGTGGGCAGAGACCCTGGTCACTGTCTCTACCAAAGGGGAAGTGGCTGAAAGAGGAAGTCATCAGATATGCTTTACTCAGATGCTACTTGCCCTGGTCAGGCTGTGTGGCCTCTAAAAATAGCAGTGGCCACTTCCTGAGACCCTCTGCATCTGGAACTAGGACAAGAGCCATCTGTACGACTTTCACTTCAAGTAACACTGGGAGGGGACAGCCTTATTATTTCCACTTAACAGATGAGGAGACTGAGGCTGTAAGAGGTGGAAATGGCCTTGCCTATGCTCCCTTCCCCTTGCCCAGGATCTTCTGTATTACATCTCTGGTCTCTGTTTCCTACACCATTTCAGGACACACCCCAGAGGATTCCAATCCTCTGACAGCCAAGGTCAGATCCCTGCTCTGTGCCCAGGAGCTGCTTGTCTACTGCCCACCATGAGGTCTCCCAGGGCTAAGGCCAGCAGCCTCACTCCCTGAGAAGCTGGTCAGGTTAGGACTCCTGCTGCTCTGTGATTCTGGGTGGGGCCTGAGGCTCTTCTGCTGTGACCTAGGATAAACAGACTGACGAATTGATGAGTGTGGTTAGCAATAATCCAGGCAAAATGGCTGTGTGCCAGCCACAGACCACGTGCTTCCCAATGCCACACCCCTCAGATTTAGAACTCTACAGGCCCACCTAGGACTCCCTGTGGGACTCAAGATAAAGTCCAGATGACCCAACCAGTCACAATGCCTGTGCAGTCCACTCCTCCCTTGATTCGATCCCAGGAGGCCTGGGATGCTCATCTCTCTCCCCCTGCCCAGTACTCTCTCCTGGCCTTAGCTCCACCTGTATACTCCAGGAACCCTTACTTGACACCCACCCATCAGGGTGCTTGCCAAACACAGACTTGTTTGTGCTTGCCAAACACAGACTTCCTCTCTGGGGATCATTGTTATTTCCATCCTGCAAGCTTGGGGAAGGTGGGACCAAGTCTGCCCAAATCCCATGGTGAACCTGGGCCAGGTATCCCCCTGGAACATTTCCTGGCCAGGAACTCCTGGTGGGGCCTTTCTGGCACCACCCTGCCAACTCTACCCTTCTGTGATTTGCATTGTCCTCATTTAAAGTACTCTCAGCAGAAAGAGCATGGAGATCCCACTGCACTAGACTCCCTGTGTAACTCATGCCTCAGATGCCTCTGCCTTCAGGAATCCTGGCTGGCCATGGACACGCCAGCTCTGGATGGGAGTGACATCCTGAATAAGGCACTCAAGGCCCCCTAGACAGAGGTCTCATCCCTGCCCATCCCCACAAGGAAATACTGTGGCCTATATAGAATTGCCAGGGTTGTGATCAAGGAGTGGGATGGGCAGGGGAGGTCACCCAGCCCCAACATAGTCTAGCCTAATCCAAGCATGTGTAGCAGGGTAAGAGTGCGAGCAGGTTGCCTGACATAGGCTCATGGCCCAACCCTTTCCCTTCAGTTTCCCTCAGGCAATGGCACATATCTGATAAGTTGTGGAAGTTGGTGGCCCCCTAGGAAAACAATCCTTTCCCTAAGGAGGTTCCTTTCAGTAATGCTTTCTGGAATATGTGGCTGGAGGGGTCGAGGGTGACAGCCTCCTAGCCAGGACCAGGTCATGCAGAAGTCAACTCAGGGGCCACTCTACACACCCCCACCACCCCTCAGGAGTAGGGCCCAACCATCTGTCTTTCCAGCTAAAAAAAAAAGGGATAAGGGGAGGCAAGGCTTGGGAATGATGTGGACAGGTGGAAATATGAATAACCAGATGGTAACTCTCCCACTCACTCCCATTTTCTACCAGGGCAGGAGGTGGGGGGCTGACCACAGCCACGCCCAGCAAGGCGGAAGGTGGGCCGGCAGATCTACATCACCTGTGACGAGACAGACAACAAATACGCTACCCCATCCTGTGACTGAAACAGATGCAGACCAGGAAGGCAGCCCCGCCCAGAGCCCGTCCAGCCCGACCCACCACCAGACCCGTGCCTCACCCAGCACCACCGAGGGGTGACGTCCGGCCGGGAGCGTGGGGTCTGCGAGCAGCATTAGCAGCAGCAAGAGGAACAGGAGGCCATCCGGGAGCAGCCCCACACGGTAGGGGCGGAGGTGGGGGCCCATGGTGTGCGACGGTCGCCCGCAGGTCCAGGGTGCAGGTTCAGCGCTCTGGGCTTTCGCTAGGGCGGGGGCGGCGGCGACGCGCTTAACCCCGCCGCCCGCATCCCCCTCATCCCTCGGGCCAATCAGGGCCCGCCTCCCGCAAACGGCCGGCCAATAGGAACTCGCTGGCATATACGTCCCTCCCAGTCGGAGCTCGCCGCCCCGCCCTTGTTCAACCCCCTACTCCCTGGACTGTGCTGCGCGCCGAGCGCATCGATGGATCGAGGTACTGCCAGGCTCCGGGCTCTCAGCCGCCCACCCGGGCACCCAGGTCGCCGCTGCTGTGTACCCCACCCAGCCCTGGGTACCCGAAATTCACGCTGCGCAGCCCTCACCTGGTGTTTCCCTGACCTGGAGGATCTGAAACGGACAAGACCGAGAGAGGATAAAGTGTGCAGCGCTCGCCGCTGCTGAGCGACCCGGGTCAAAGCAAGAAGAGGGGAAGTGAGACCCGGACAGTTCTTGGGCCTCATGTGACCAGGAACTGACAAGGACCTTTGTGCAACCCCTACACCAATTCTTAGCACACCCTGCCCCGAGGGCACCTGGGTTCGGCCAGTCAGCCCATGTAACTGTCTGCCCCGGGTACAGATGCGGGGGAACCAGGAGAGAACAGGTCAGCATGTTCAGTTCCCAAGAAGGGGGTTAAACTTTGTTTTAAGGGCTCAGAGTGCAGCGTCACCCCGCCAGTCGGGAGTGGGTGCGGGGGTGGGAGTGGGCTTGAGCCTCGACCCTGCGCCATGGGCCATCTGCAAGTTCCCCTTTAGAGCAGAAGAGTCATCGGGAGTTCGTGCTCCTCTCTGCTCCCACAAACCTGAGGAACCAGAGAGGACATGGACTCCCTGCACCAGGAAGCAGGGGCGAGCAGAGTGGGCAAAGACCTGACAGCCGGTTATCTGCCGGCACCATAGGTCACTGTGGGATGGAGGGACCAGAGTGCTTGGGAAATAGAGGTCTTGATCCTCCACACACACACCCTTCGAAGGGGCAGCTGCACCCTGGTCATCTCACCTGCCCAAGACCTTTGTCCTCCTGCCCTTTCCTTCCTTCTTGGCAAGCAGCTGACCTGGCTATGAAAACACTGTCTTGCCCTGCCCTTCTCGAGTTCTTTTTTTTTTTTTTTTTTTTTGAGACGCAGTTTCGCCCTTGTTACCCAGGCTGGAGTGCAATGGCGCGATCTCGGCTCACCGCAACCTCCGCCTCCTGGGCTCAGGCAATTCTCCTGCCTCAGCCTCCTGAGTAGCTGGGATTACAGGCACGTGCCACCATGCCCAGCTAATTTTTTGCACTTTTAGTAGAGACGGGGTTTCACCATGTTGACCAGGATGGTCTCGATCTCTCGACCTCGTGATCCACCCGCCTCGGCCTCCCAAAGTGCTGGGATTACAGGCTTGAGCCACCGCGCCCGGCCTCGAGTTCTTATAGTGAAACATGTTGGTGACTGGGCTACCTACCACCACTCCCTTTTTCTTTTTCTTTTCTTTTCTTTTTTTTTTTTTCAGACACGGTCTCTCTGTCATCCAAGCATGAAGTGCAGTGGCACGATCACGGCTCATTGCAGCCTTGATCTTTCGGGCTCAAGGGATCTTTCCCACCCGAACCTCCTGAGTAGCTGGGACTACAGGTGTACACTCGCACGCTCAGCTAGGTTTTTAAATTTTTTGTAGAGTTGGCGTGCCACTATGTTGCCCAGGCCAGTCTTGAACTCCTGGCCTTAAGTGATTCAGCTGCCTCAGCCTCCCAAAGTGCTGAAATTATAGGTGTGTACCACTCTGCACAGCCCACCCTCTCTTAAGGTCCAGCCATCTGCCCCTAAGGCCCTGGCTCAGGACTCCCATTCCCAAAGCCCCTACTTTCCCCATCTTCACCTGTGGCCCAACAGAAGGTCGCTGAAGACCCATCTGGTGAAAACCCAGTGAGGGATACCATAGAAACACTTCTGCAGGCCTAGGGACAGGCAGGAATCCAGTCAAAGGTTAAGTGGGGGAAGGGAGGGATCAAGAGGACCAGGGCCACCCTGGACTCTGGCCAGTCTAAATGTCTTGCCAGCCCAGCAGCATCAGGTGACCATGGGCCCCTGGAAGGGTAGCCCTGTCCTCCAGAGGGGTTGCCTGGCACTTCACTCCCACAGGCCTTACACATGTTAGGAACCATAGCCATTAGGGGCAGGATGGCAAGGCCCAGTCAGCAATGACCCATGCTGGCACCATGGAGAACAGTCAGAAGGTGAGGGTCCTCCCTTTTCATAGTGACTCTGCCATCCACCCGATCCCCTACTCTGCAGACCTGGCATTATCCTGAGCTCTGGATGCCTCCACGCTTCTCAGAACCACAACTCAGGTGGTCATAAGGGCTTGCTGGCTCTACCCTCCCCAAACCACAGTACCCTTATTCCCACAACAGCCTGGTGTCCCAATGCACACCCACATTCCTGTGGGTTGTTCTCTACATGACAGGCTAACACCATTTTTTTTGTTTGTTTTTGTTTTTGAGACGGAGTCTTGCTCTGTCGCCCAGGCGGGAGGTGCAGTGGCACAATCTCAGCTCACTGCAACCTCCGCCTCCCAGGTTCAGGCGATTCTTCTGCCTCAGCCTCCCGAGTAGCTGGGATTACAGGTGTCTGCCACCATGCCCAGCTAATTTTTGTATTTTTTAGTAGAGATGGATTTCTCCATGTTGGCCAGGCTGGTCTTGAACCCCTGACCTCAGGTGATTGGCCTGCCTCAATCTCTGAAAGAGCTGGGATTACAGGCATAAGCCACTGCACCCAGCCCTGATTTATTTATTTATTTTTTTATCTTGCCAAATTACTCTCAGGGGCCTGGGGAGTCATGCCCTGCAAACCATAAATTCTCATTAGATGGGTTTTATTTAACCCTATATATTGTGACTTGGGAGTCTGGCATACCATTAGCTGACAAAGAAGAAAGTCAAAATATCCCAAAACAATGTTTCTTTGCTATATTTTGAAATGGCCCTGCAAAACTGTCCTTTGTGGGCCAGGCTCAGTGACTCACGCCTGTAATCCCAGCACTTTGGGAGGCTGAGGCAGATGGATCATGAGGATAGGAGTTACAGACCAGCCTGGCCAACATGGTGGAACCCCATCTCTACTAAAAATACAAAAAAATTAGCAAGGCATGGTGTTGCATGCCTGTAATACCAGTTACTGTGAATGCTGAAGCAGGAGAATTGCTTGAACCCAGGAGGCAGAAGTTGTGGTAAGCAGAGATTATGCCACTGCACTCCAGCCTGGGCGACAGAGCAAGACTGTCTCAAAACAAAACAAAAACAAAACTGTCCTTTGTGGGGGAAATCTTGTATCTGTAAAGAATCTCTATTAAGTAGCTAGATCTTTTTCTTCCAGGTCCTCCCAATCCTGAAGAGATTAAGAGTGTAGCACCTTTTAAAGGTCTGAATAGGAAATATTTTTATTGTATCTAAGGGCAGCTTAGAGACACGCCTGTAATCCTAGCACTTTGGGAGGCCAAGGAGGGTGGATCACCTGATGTCAGGAGTTGAAGACCAGCCAGTCCAACATGGCAAAACCCATCTCTACAAAAACAGAAAAATTAACCCGGCATGGTGGCAGGCACCTGTAGTCTCAGCTACTCAGGAGGCTGAGGCAGGAGAATCACTTGAACCTGGGAGGCGGAGGTTGCACTGAGCAAGACTGCGTCACTGCACTCCAGCCTGGGAAACAGAGCAAGACTCCGCCTAAAAAAAAAAAATAGTATCCAGATATTTTACAGAGTTTGACTCTTCATTGACAGAATAAATCCAGAGACTAAAGAGCCACGCCAGTTGTGGTATCTTCCTTGGGACAGCATACAGCCAACAGCCTTCACCCCTCCTGCTACCAGGCCCTTTGCACTCCCTCTCGCTGACCTAAGCTCCAAGCTTCCCTACCTGGACCAGGTAATCCAGGACTTGAGGCAACCAAACTAAGACCAGGGTTTTCTGGGCTGATTTGGTGGTCAAAGCTGAGTCCATTCAGAGACAGGTGGACTCTCCCTAAAGCTCATGGCTCAGCAGGCCCCCATTCCTCTGCCACCACTCTCCCTGCAGTCACAGGAGGCCTAACACTGATCCAGCCACAACAGAACCCTGCAGGCAAAGGGCCCAGAACAGAGATAATGCCACTGCACTCCAGCCTGGGCAACAGAGCAAAACTCTGTCTCAATAAAATCACATAGGCCGGGCGCAGTGGCTCACACCTGTAATCCCAGCACTTTGGGAGGCTGAGGCCAGTGGATTGCCTGAGCTCAGGAGTTCAAGATTAGCCTGGCAACGTGACAAAACCCCATCTACCGAGTACCAGCTCAGCTGTAGAGACTCCCACCCAGCCGTCGCTGAAGGAAATGAGAGGCAGACACCCAGAAAGAAAAACAAAGTGGGTCTATCCAGGGGTCCAGCAGGCTTCTGAGCTGAAAGCCTCAGGGGCTGACAGCATTCCAGGCTGAAGGCCCCAAGTAGACTCTGACCCAGTTATTTATTCTCTCTGAACAGGTGATTATTATTAATTAACAAGTGTTCTGTGTTTTCTCATAACAAAATATGCCAAGTAAGCAGCTGGTGCCTGCTTACCACCGATCACAAACAAAGAGTATTCTCCACAAGGGAGCCACAGGGGCAGGGTCAGATATCTTAAAGAATGGATTTAACAGGTGTAGGATATTTATATATTGTCCTGCCACTTTGGAATGCCCCAAGTCGTTTTCTACTGGGGGAGGGGAGTGGATAGGTTTTCTTTGCCCCATCGTTCTTCCTAGCAAACAATATATTCTATCATACACTCAGCATTCATCACTATTCATAAACTTAACATTTCTCAACACCCGTCTCTACTAAAAATACAAAAAATTAGCAGGGGGTGGTGGTGCACGCCTGTAATCTCAGCTACTCTGGAGGCTAGAGGCACAAGAATCGCTTGAACCCGGGAGGTGGAGGTTCCAGTCAGCCAAGATCGTGCCATCGCACTCCAGCCTGGGCGACAAGACTGTCTCAAAATAAAAATAAAAATAAAATAGGCCAGGTGTGACAGCTAACGCCTGTAATCCTAGTACTTTGGGAGGCTGAGGAGGGAGGATCATCTGAGGTCAGGAGTTGGGAGACCAGCCTGACCATATAATTTTGTATACTAAAAATACAAAATTAGTCAGGTGTGGTGGAGTATGCCTGTAATCCCAGCTACTCAGAAGGCTATGCAGGAGAATCGCTTGAATCTGGGAGGTGGAGGTTGCCATGAGCCGAGATGGCGCCATTGCACTCCAGCATGGGCAACAAGAGCGAAACTCTGTCTCAAAATAATAATGGTGATAATAATAAATACAAAAATTAGGCTGGCGTGGTGGCGGGTGCCTGTAATCCCAGCTACTCAGGAGGCCGAGGTAGGAGAATGGCTTGAACCCAGGAGGCGGAGGTTGCAGTGAGCCAAGATCGCGCCACTGCACTCCAGTCTGGGCGTGAAGAGCAAAACTCCGTCTCAATCAATCAATCGATCGATCGCCAGAGGGTATTGGCCTGACAAGTGCATAGAAGGCACCACCTTTACACCACTGTCGTGGTGCTTTGCTCGCCCTTGGGCGGAAGCCCCGCCCCCTCTGGTTCTGGCAACGGAGTCAGCGCGCCCTCTGGCGGCTGCTCGGCGGCGACACTACAGGCGCGGGATCCCAACCAGTGAGGTGGAGCCCAAGGCTCCGGCTAGAGCAGTCGGCCGGGAGATAAGGAGGGACGTTGAGGGCGGGGACGGGTCTGGACAGTCGTGGATTTCCGCGGTGCTCCGCAGCATCGAATCCTCTTCCACCGCGAGATCTTTCCTGGCCGGGAAGGGAAGGAGGGAGGGCGTTTTTGCACCACTCCTAGATGCCCTGGAGGTTCCAAAAGACCTGCCACAGTCCCTGTCCTCCGCAAGAACCCCCCTGTACTGCCCAAGCTTTCATGTCCCCGCGGCAACAGGCTGCCTTTAGGGGTCCAGCCCAGGCAGGCCTGAGAGCCAAGGTGAGGGGGGAATTTCGCGAGTATGAGACCCACCGGATCCAGCCCTTTCTTCCAAATACCTGGCACGCGTTTTTGAGAAAGGCGTCTGGCCTCTGGCGGCCTAGGTCTTCGGGGCCTTGCCTACCTCTCTGCCTACCAATCTCCTATTCATTAATTCATGAAGCCCAGGGGAGTGAGGAGTGTGGTGGGGGACATTTTTCAGAGAACGGAAATCTCAAACTACAGAGGGGACCCCTGTTGTGGAAGACAGAAAATCTGGAGGAAGAGCTGTGGTTAACTAGAGAAGGGGCAGGACTGGAGGGGAGGAAAGGGCACTACTGCAAAGGCCTGTGGCCCGAGGGAGGCTTACCATTGCTGAAATATCCTATGGCAGAAGCAGCTAGCCTTAGACAACAGTTCATTCATTCAGTGACATTCGAGGATCGGATGATGAGGAGGGGAGACAATACACGAATAAATCATGTTGTAAGTTGGTTAAGTTGGGAGGGTTGGGGGTCAGAAAGAAGCAATGAGGGACGGTTGGGGGACAGGAGGGCGGGTTTAGTAACAATGGGGTGAGCTGGGAGGACCCATCTGAAGATGAGTAAGGGATCTCAGCGAAACAGGCTTCCCATCCTTCCCCCTGCCCCCACGCCAAGGGAATTTGGTTGTTAAAGAAGAATCTGGCCGGGCGCGGTGGCTCAAGCCTGTAATCCCAGCACTTTGGGAGGCCGAGGCCGGTGGATCACGAGGTCGAGAGATCGAGACCATCCTGGTCAACATGATGAAACCCCGTCTCCACTAAAAATACAAAAAATTAGCTGGGCATGGTGGCGTGTGCCTGTAATCCCAGCTACTCAGGAGGCTGAGGCAGGAGAATTGCCTGAACCCAGGAGGCGGAGGTTGCGGTGAGCCGAGATACCGCCATTGCACTCCAGCCTGGGTAACAAGAGTGAAACTCCGTCTCAAAAAAAAAAAAAAAAAAAGCCGGGCGCGGTGGCTCAAGCCTGTAATCCCAGCACTTTGGGAGGCCGAGGCGGGTGGATCACAAGGTTGAGAGATCGAGACCAACCTGGTCAACATGGTGAAACCCCGTCTCTACTAAAAATACAAAAAATTAGCTGGGCATAGTGGCGCGTGCCTGTAATCCCAGCTACTCAGGAGGCTGAGGCAGGAGAATTGCCTGAACCCAGGAGGCGGAGGTTGCGGTGAGCCGAGATCGTGCCATTGCACTCCGGCCTGGGTAACAAGAGCGAAACTCTGTCTCAAAAAAAAAAAAAAAAAAAGAATCCAAGGGTTGGAGCTGGGCACCGTGGCTCCCGCCTGTGACCAAGACCAGCCTGGCCAACACGATGAAACCTCGTCTCTGCAAAAAAAAAATACAAAAATTAGCTGGGCGTGGTGGCGGAGCATGCCTGTGGTCCCAGCTACTTAGAAGGCTGAGGTTGGAGGATAGTTTGAGCCCAAGGAATGTCGAGGCTGCATTGAGCAGAGATTGTGCCGTTGCACTCCAGCCTGAGCGACAGAGTGAGACCCCGTCTCAAAAATAATAAATGAATGAATGAATGAATCCGCAGGGCGCGTTGACTCACACCTGTAATCCCAGCAATTTGGGAGGCTGAGGCGGGTGGATCACCTGAGGTCAGGAATTCGAGACCAGCCTGACCAACATGGTGAAACTCTGTCTCTACTTAAAAAAATATAAAATTAGCCGGGCGTGGTGGTACACACCTGTAATCCCAGCTACTTGGGAGGATGAGGCAGGAGAATCGCTTGAATCTGGGAAGCGGAGGTTGCAGTGAGCCGAGATCGCGCCATTCTACTCTAGCCTGAGCAACAAGAGCAAAACTTAGTCTCAAAGAAATAAATAAAAAATTTTAAAAATAAAAATTAAAAATAATCCAAGAGACAGGAATCGTCTTGCTATGAGGGCGGCCATGGATGGGCGCCCGGGAGTTTAGGGGAGCCACACTGTGTTACCAGCACGTGCCTCAGGTTCACCACCCAGGGGCGACCTGGACACGCATAACCGCGTCTTCCGTGGGAATGCGCTCAGGACGGCCAGAGATGCCACAATGGTGCGGTCACCTCGCGAGGGAGGCTATAGGGAAGAGCAGGCGTCGAGACCCACGCTGAAGAGGAAAAAGTGCCTAGAGGCTGCACAGATGAAGTCGCCAGGAGGGACAAGAAGGAGACCGAGTACCGACCGGACCTCCGGGTGGGGACGCTGGGACCCTGTACTGTAGGAGTGGAACACAGACCCGAGACAAGGAAGAAGCAATGGGCTTCTAGGGAGCCTTAGGAATGAGGCGGTTACAGCCGCTGGTTTAGCGGAGTTGGTTGGAAAGGCGTGGCAGGAGGAAGAGCCGCCTCCGCCAGGCGCAGGCGCGCTCCCGGACGGGAAGGGGAGGGGCCTTACTCGCGGCCGCGCCCCGCCCCACGAACAAATATTTGACATTCCAGGCTTATCGGGAGGCGGGGCCCAAGGAGCAACGTTCTCCCTCCCTCCGGCGCCTGATTCTCCTACCGCTTCCGGGAGAGGAGCACGTGGGCAGTGCCCAGTTGGGCGGTCCGAAGATGGGCAGCTGCTAACCGATGCTCGCCTCCACCTCTCTAGGGAAAGTAAAGTGCTAATTGCGCGAACCCGCCGGACGAAGGATGCACTTTCCATTCTCTCCCTGTCGCAGTGTCCGGGCGCGTGTTCTTTCCGTCCTGGGCGCCTGTTTCTTCAGCTGCCAAGTGGAGCTACCCTGAGGTCTCTCGTCCCAGGCCTTGCCCCTTTCCCGGGCATTAGCTTTAAGGATGCGCCCGGTGTTCCGCTCTCTCCATTGTCCACGGACGGGACGCAGCGCCGCGCTTGTCCGAAAGCGCGTGGTGCGGCTCCGGTCTCAGTCTCGAGTTAGGCTAGGCAACCGCGTGACTCAGTTCCCGCCAGGCTGAAGCCCCTCCTTCCTGCTGGATTATTCAGTTTCTCAGTCACCTACCTAGGAGAGTTTGGGAACGTAAGGGACAGCCAAGAAACGCGCCATAAAGGAGCCTCACCAAGCTCCACTGGGCGAAGGAGGCACTGGGGAGCCCCTAACGCGGGACTGTTTGAATTGGGTTATAGGTGCGAGATGGACCAAGAAGGATCTTCCGCCCGCACGCGCGCACACACGCTCAACGATAGCCCGCCACCTGCCAGCGCGCTCGCAATTTCCAGGTAGCTGCTGCGCCGTCGAGAAAGGGACGAAACCAGGCAGGTGCCCCCACGTGGGGTAGGAGTGAGACTCCAGGCGCGTTCCATTCCTCTCAGCCTCGTCTAGGGTGCAGCTCTCTGGGATTAGGGGGGCTTCCTTTCTCCAGCATTGGGGCCTGCGCACTTCCAGCCCACAACGACCGCTCTCCGGCACTTCTCGGTGCCAAGCTACCGCTCGGCCCTAGCATCTGCGTGGGCGAGCCCTTCCCTGTGATCCCTGGTGACTACCCCACATCTCTAACAACCCCGATGATCCCGCAGCTCTCCCCTTTTCCAGCTGACTTCTGGCGACCCCCCGACAGGATGATACCCAGCAACTCTCATTGCCCCCTTGACCCTTTGACTTCCATCAACCCCAGACCTGCCGCGGTGACCCCCACAGCCCGTGGACTGCCTCTTGGTGAACTTCCATACGTCCTGTGTGACCTCTTGGACTGGAGAAGGCCTCTGGTCTTGTACGCTCCTTTGCGGAGGCCTGACGACCCCTGGGGAAGAGTCGGGGGAGAGCGGAAGAAGGGATTAGCCCCAAGAATCAGGCAGGACCAGCCCTGAAGTAGAAATGCGGATCCTGAGCGTCCGCCCAGGCCGGGAGTGTGAGTTCTAGCGTCCTGGGCAGTGCTCTGGCGGCCCTCCCACAAGGTTCCCGGCGCCGCCCTAGTCACGTGGCCGGCGGGGCCGGCAGGTAACTCGCCTGGAGAGGGCGTGGGCCAGTAGCCGCCCCGCCCCACGGGGCGCCACGGGCGGGTATCGGCAGCGCCCACTGAGCCAGCCGGGCCGCAGGTGCCGCCCCCGACACACGATGTCCCGCCCAAGCTGATCCGCGTCTGCCGTCGGTCGGTGCGTGCGTGCGCCTCGTCGGTCCGCGTGTGTCTGGCCGAGAGACCCCTTTCTCTGCGGCCATGACTCCTCCGCCGCCCCCGCCCCCAGGCCCTGACCCCGCGGCCGACTCCCCTGTGGACCCCTGCCCCGGACCTGAGTCATTGGTCGTCCTGTTTGGGGCTACGGCGGGTGCGCTGGGACGGGACCTGGGCTCCGATGAGACCGACTTAATCCTCCTAGTCTGGCAAGTGGTTGAGCCGCGGAGCCGCCAGGTAGGGTGGAAAGGAGGCGGTGAGGGTCACCAGGGAGCTTCCGGGGTCGAGGAGCGCGGCTGATCGGTTTCCCCCGCCGCTCACAGGTGGGGACGCTGCACAAATCTCTGGTTCGCGCCGAGGCGGCCGCACTGAGTCCGCAGTGCCGCGAGGCGAGCGGCCTGAGTGCCGACAGCCTGGCGTGCGCAGAGCCGCTGGACAAGGTGCTGCAGCAGGTGAGCACCGGGGTGGGCGGCTGCACTGTCTGGCCATAAGGACATTTCTGGGCAGGAGAGGCGGCCGGAGGCTAGGCCTGGCGTGCCGCAACCAACCGGCCTGGGCGTCAGGAGGGAGCCTTGTTTGAAACTCTGAGCGACTCGCGTGTTCGTGTCCCTTTCATCCGCGCGTGCCGGCCATTCCCCTGGGCTCCTTACTTTTCAACCATTGTAGGGACCTACTCCTCCCGATCGGGACATAGGCTTTGGGATCCATCCCGAGTTCTCACCCGAGGAGCGAGGCTGAGACGCCTCTGGGAGACCTCCTGGGTCAGGTCTCCAGCAGCCAGAAGCGAAAGGGGTCGAGGGGTCCAAAGTTGGCTACAGGTGACCGGCCCTTGCGGCCCGCGTCTTTAGCCTGCCTGGGAGCCGCTGGAGCGGAGGCGTAGGGCGGTGTCGGCCCTAGAGGTAGACGCCGCCGCCAGGTGCAAACTGCTCGTCTAGGCCTGTCCCGGCCTGGCCTGGGGGACTATCTGCCTGCTGAGTGCAAAGGCCTGGGCTGCCTCCTGCCCTGTCTGAAGTGGGAAGTGGTTTCCATTGCTGTTTTCTTTTCCTTATCTTCACTATGGCGCTCATTCTGTGTCTGACTTGATTGTAATTAGTGTAAGTCCTTTTATACGCACACATTATTTCATCTTCCAACAACTCTGGTGGTTCCTAATGAGGAGGCACAATGATGATTCCCAGTCTGTTCCAGAAGGGCTCCTGGCCTTTCATTTGGGGAGTTTGCTGGAGAATAGCCGGGTTGCCTGCTCTGCCAGTCTCAGGTTGTAAAGTGTCGCAGAATTGGCAGGGAGAGTTGGTGGGTCTGTAATTAGTGCTTATACTTCTCCAGCGGGGATGGAGGCTGGGGGAGGGCTGGACAGCCTCAGTAGTGCTACCCCCTCTATGTGCAAACAGCTCAGCGCCAGCTGGTCGATAGGGTATGGGTCAAAGCTCATGCTGCCCCTGATGTCCAAGTGTAGAGAGCTCTGTCCCTGGAGTTTCTCTGTCCCTGGGTTGGTCAGACCTGGAGGCGGGGCTGCCATTGACCATGAGCCTTCTGGGCCTCAGGCCGGCCTGGGCCTCCCCCACCTGTCTGAGGGTGGTGCCTGGCCAGAGACAGGTTTAACCTGCTTTGCCCCGCCCCTTCCCACCTGCTTGTCCCACTCCAGGTGTTTGCTCTGGCCCCACTCCAAACTCCTGGAGTGTGTGTGTTGGGGGCTTGGGTTATATGTGATTGCCCTCAGTTGGCCTGGAGGAGGTGACAGTGGACTGGAACAGGATTGGGGGTGGGGGGAAGGGACATAGGGCTAGGCTCAACAGGTGTGGCCTCTTCTTCCCAGGCAGGATAGGGCTGAACATCTGGCTGAACCAGCTTTGCAGCCTGCCTCCTTCCTCCTCCCACCTTCACTTCCTGCCTGCCCAGCTGTGAGTCTGTCTGTTTCTCTCTCCCCACTCCCTATCCCCAGTTCTCACAGCTGGTGAACGGGGATGTGGCTCTGCTGGGCGGGGGCCCCTACGTGCTCTGCACTGATGGGCAGCAGCTATTGCGACAGGTCCTGCACCCAGAGGCCTCCAGGAAGGTATGCCCTTGAAGGAAAACTGGGCTGGGGTGGGGGGCAGTAAGGTTTCCAGGACTCCTGTTGTCCTGAGGGTGGGCAGGGCACTCATCCCCATTCCTATGTGCCCCCAGAACCTGGTGCTCCCCGACACCTTCTTCTCCTTCTACAACCTCCGAAGAGAGTTCCATATGCAGCACCCAAGCATCTGCCCTGCTAGGGACCTCACTGTGGCTACCATGGCGCAGGGTATCTGTGACCCAGCAGGGTTAGGGTGGAGGAGCCACTGTGGGTAAATGTGTTTGGGAATGCCCATGCTGGTGGGTGGGTTATATGGACACATGCAAGTCTGCATTATCTGCTAAGTCCCTGAGTATACCTGTGTCTTTCTGTATGTGCTAGAATGAGTTTGGAATGTGGGTATGTGTCTTATCTATGTCTGAGCTGGGGACCTGTAAGTGCACACATGAACTGGGCCAAATGTGTATGCTGGTCTCTAGCATGTGTCTATGGAGGGGATTTGGGCCCTGGAGTGAACAAGATTACTGCTTATGCTAAGATGTCTTCGCTGTCACTTTTCTGCCCATAGATTTAGGACTGGAGACAGATGCCACAGAGGATGACTTTGGGGTCTGGGAAGTGAAGACAATGGTAGCTGTTATCCTCCATCTACTGAAAGAGCCCAACAGTAAGGTTTCCCTCACTGCCTGTCACCTGTTCTCAGGGATGGTGAATGCCTGCCTATTACTCCTCCCCACTTGTAGCCTTCTCTAAAAGACCACAGCGGGAAGCCTCTTTTTTTTTTTTTTTTTTTGAGATGGAGTGTCTCTCTATAGCCCAGGCTGGAGTACAGTGGTGCAATCTCAGCTCACTGCAACCTCCACTTCGCCAGTTCAAGTGATTCTCCTGCCTCAGCCCCCAGAGTAGCTGGGATTACAAGCACCCACCACCACGCCCAGCTAATTTTTGAATTCTTAGTAGAGGCAGGGTTTCACCATATTGGCCAGGCTGGTCTCGAACTCCTGACCTCAAATGATCCACCCACCTTGGCATCCCAAAGTGCTGGGATTATAGGCCACTGTGCCTGGCCTGTCATTCATCTCCCTCAACTGTCCTCTTTTTGCAGAGCTTGGTGGGGAGGACCCTCCAATCCACTAGACCCTGCTGACCCCCATACCCATCTTTTCTCAGGTCAATTATTTTCGAAGCCTGAGGTGATAAAGCGGAAATATGAAACGGGGCCTTGGTGAGTGTGGGAGCAGGGGTTGGGAGTGACAACAGCTGGACAACTCTGACACTGTGTCCTGCCCCTATAGCAGCAAGGCTGATGTGGTGGACAGTGAGACTGTGGTACGGGCTCGTGGGTTGCCCTGGCAGTCATCAGACCAGGACGTGGCTCGCTTCTTCAAAGGGCTCAACGTGGCCAGGTGGGTGTGGCGGGGTGGGTGGGCCCAAATGGACAGGCCTACCCAGGAGGCACTAACAGCACTGGCTCCACAGGGGTGGTGTAGCGCTCTGCCTCAACGCCCAGGGCCGCAGAAATGGCGAGGCCCTCATCCGCTTTGTGGACAGCGAGCAGCGGGACCTTGCGCTGCAGAGACACAAGCACCACATGGGCGTCCGCTATATTGAGGTGGGGCTTTGGGCTGGGAGCGGAGCAGGGCCAATGTGGGCTAGGCCCGAGACCAGTGAGCTGTTCTCTATGTACCCACAGGTGTATAAAGCGACAGGGGAGGAGTTCGTAAAGATCGCAGGGGGTGAGTGTACCCCAAACAGGGCCTGGCTCCCCTGGTTCTTGACCCATATCCCACTTCCCCACAACCCCTTGCCTGCATATTCCCCTGCATGGGTGAGTGTCTGGAAGAGCATGGGTGAAGTCAGCAGGTGACTCCCATGTCCCCCACACAGGCACATCACTAGAGGTGGCTCGTTTCTTGTCACGGGAAGACCAAGTGATCCTGCGGCTGCGGGGACTGCCCTTCTCGGCCGGGCCAACGGACGTGCTAGGCTTCCTGGGGCCAGAGTGCCCAGTGACTGGGGGTGCCGAAGGGCTGCTCTTTGTGCGCCACCCTGACGGCCGGCCAACTGGTGATGCCTTTGCCCTCTTTGCTTGTGAGGAGCTGGCACAGGCTGCACTGCGCAGGCACAAGGGCATGCTGGGTAAGCGATACATCGAACTCTTCCGGAGCACTGCAGCAGAGGTGCAGCAGGTGAGCACCTAGGGCTCCCCACCCAGATGTACTGTTACTCCAGGTCGGGCCTCTGTGCCCCTGCCCTACTTGGCATGACCAGCCTGTTGTTGCTTTCCTTACTAGGTCCTGAACCGCTATGCATCCGGCCCACTCCTTCCCACACTGACTGCCCCACTGCTGCCCATCCCCTTCGCACTGGCAGCTGGGACCGGGAGGGATTGTGTACGCCTCCGAGGCCTGCCCTACACAGCCACTATTGAAGACATCCTGAGTTTTCTCGGGGAGGCAGCAGCTGACATCCGGCCCCACGGTGTGCACATGGTGCTCAACCAGCAGGTAAGGCCACTGCTTATTGAGCAGTGGGGGAAACATAAATAGGAAGGAATGTATGTGTTAGGGGTAAGGCACTCTTACACATGACAAACTGCTCACAAGATGGTGTGCACAGGGCCGGCCGTCGGGTGATGCCTTCATCCAGATGACATCAGCAGAGCGAGCCCTAGCTGCTGCTCAGCGTTGCCATAAGAAGGTGATGAAGGAGCGCTACGTGGAGGTGGTCCCCTGTTCCACAGAGGAGATGAGCCGTGTGCTGATGGGGGGCACCTTGGGCCGCAGTGGCATGTCCCCTCCGCCCTGCAAGCTGCCCTGTGAGTGCCCCAGGGGCTGGGGAAGGAGGCCTGTGGGATCCAGGCTGTTGTAGGCCACTACCTTCTTTAGTGGGGACTCCTTTCTAGCTGCCCCAGATATTGTGGGGCTGATAGGTCCACAGCAGCTTGCTTTCTTTTTTAAAATGGAAGCTCTGGTACCTTCAATGTATGACTCCTGGGAGAGTCAAGGGTCCATCTGAGCATCTAAAGATCCGAATGTTCTACCTCCCCCTGTGCCTCTCATGGGCAATAAAGAGGCAGAGAGAGCCAGCCCCAGGGTACTGCTGGGCTCCGTGCACATGCACTTTCTACTTCTGTCTCTAGGCCTCTCACCACCTACCTACACCACCTTCCAAGCCACCCCAACCCTCATTCCCACGGAGACAGCAACTCTATACCCATCTTCAACACTGCTTCCGGCTGCCAGGGTGTCTGCTGCCCCCACCCCTGTTGCCTACTACCCAGGGCCAGCCACTCAACTCTACCTGAACTACACAGCCTACTACCCAAGGTATCCTATAGCTAAGAGAACACCACAGTCCTGCTGCCTGTCCCAATCTGGGGAAGGGTCACAATCCCCTTTCTGGGCCAGGTAACTTGAGATCACAAGAGTAAGGTAGGAGCTGGCCAATGCCATCTATAAAATAGATCAAAGATGACTCTTTGATCTGTTTTGTAGATGGCATTGGCCAGCTCCTGGGGCTTCAGGGAGGAGGAACTGAACTAAGCACAAGGCAGAAGCAAGGGAGGAGGGAAACAGGTCTCAGTCTAGCCCGCAGATGGCATGCATGACTAAACCTTGACTCTCTCACCCTTAGCCCTCCAGTCTCCCCCACCACTGTGGGCTACCTCACCACACCCACTGCTGCCCTGGCCTCTGCTCCCACCTCAGTGTTATCCCAGCCAGGAGCCTTGGTCCGCATGCCGGGTGTCCCATACACAGCTGGTATGAAGGATCTGCTCAGCATCTTCCAGGCCTACCAGGTGAGACTACGTGGCTGCAGGGCCTGGCGGGTCTAGCCGAGCTCTCTGCCCTAAATCTATGTTCCCTTCTGTAGCTAGCCCCAGATGACTACACCAGTCTGATGCCTGTTGGTGACCCACCTCGCACTGTGTTACAAGCCCCCAAGGAATGGGTGTGTTTGTAGAAGAGGAAGCCAGGAGGTAAGAGCCAGCTGATATCCTCAGCAAACATGTCTCTCCTGCGTCCAGAAGACCAGCGCCCTCAACCCGGTAGCTTCTTTCTGGCTTGTCAAAGCTCTCAGAAGGTACCTAGAGGAGCCCAAGCCCCAGCTCCGTCCTCCACTTATTCTTCTGCCTGTTTACCCCAAAGACAATGGCTGGACCATGCATGCAGGGCTGGGGGAGGAATGGGGTAACCAGCTCCTGATGGCCTGAGCCAGGCGTCTTGACTGGCACTTGGAGAGCCCTTTGGTCTGTCCTGGCTGTGGCCCGTGCTGACAGATATCGTGGGGCTGACAGGTCCATGGCAGGTTTGCTTTCTTTTTTAAAATGGAAGCTCTGGTACCTTCAAATATGATTCTTGGGAGAATGAAGAGTCTATCTGAGCCTCTGAGTAAAGATCCCAATGTTCTACCTCCCCCTGTCCCTCTCTCATGGGGAATAGAGAGGCAGAGAGAGCCAGTCCCTACCCTCGGTATATTTGGAACTCAGAGACCATGTTGTGCCAGGGTGGTCCCACCTAAAGATGCTAGCCCCTCTCTGGGTGAGCCTAAGGAGTAACAGATGGCAAAACTGCAAACTATTGATGGACTGTACTGCAGTATCCCCAGAAGACATTAGGGGGCAGAAGGCCCCCACACAAAAACTCAGCCTTGTTTTTTTTTTGTTGTTTTTTTTTTAAAGAGGACTTTCTGCCAACTTTTCTTGTACGCTTTGGGAAAGCCAGTTACCCTGAACCCAGCAGACACCGAGGAATGTCCTTTGCATGCATTAAGTGGTACAGAACTAAAGCCTCAGAAGCAATTTGGAACTCTGTCTTCTCCTCCATAAAATGAAAAGTTACTGATCAAATGGACTTTTAAAAAGCCACAGGACCCTTTACATTGCCCCCAGAGTGAGGGGCTCCACACCAGCCCCAGGCGGAGGAATACTCAGACAGATTTAAGAAGACTGTTGGCCTGTCACCATTTATTATTTCAGCACTAAAACTGAGGAGCCTGAACTGCTGGCTCTTCTTCCCTTTGTATTTGTGTAAGGAGCACTGTACTCCCATAAAAGGTTTTAAAATACAAAATATACAAGAACACACAATTCCAAGTGCTGTAAACATAACTGAGAACCAGTTCCTTTACTAAACATCCATTTTATAAAATACAAGGTTTCAAACTGAGCCCATCTGAGCCTTAAAGATCCATTCTAAATACCAAAAACAGAGCTTCACAGCCAGTTCCAAAAGAGGTCTGTTGATAACAGCTGGCCCTGGGTGGGGGTAGTTTATACCCGGGCAGCAGCACCACACATGAACCTGAAGACATGTTCCTTTTAAAGCTGTTTTCAGCCATGTTTCTGTGTGCATCACCAGTAAGCAGAAGGCTACTCATTCCATTCCTCAACCCGAGAGCTAGCACAGATTAGAGTAGGAAAGGGTGCCTGCTAGCACATGCCCAGTTGCTCAGTGCTGCTATTAGAAATTGATTTGCATAGTCTAATGGATGTGTGCTTTAAAACCACTATGTTGCACAAAAATTTAAGTCTTTATCTACAAAGCCCAAAAATACTGACTCTTACACCAAAGCTTTTACAAAGCTGATAGAAAACTGCTTACATAGTATACAAAGCTCTATTTTAAAATGTAACATTTATTTTAAATAGGAAAGCATTTCTAGTGCTACAGGCATCAAGGTATTTAGAAGGCATCAAAATTTGGTGCATAGCAACTCTGGATCATAGAAGCTTTTAATTCTTGAGGGCAGCAAAGCTTCCCCAAAGGGTATTTCAAAGGAAGCTCTTGCAATAACCCCATGTGAGGGAGCTACACCAGGGGCAAAAGGGTAGAGGCAAGTCTGGCCATTTCTGTGGAACATCACCCAAAGGGCCAACTTCCTGCCCCTCCAAAGGAAGCTGTGGGCTTCCAACCACAGACCCAGAAGTAAATCTTGCTATTGATATTCTGTGACACAACTCACTTTTCAAGAAAAGTTGAAAATACCCAGCTCCAAGAGGGGCCACGGTGATCTGCTGAAGAATAGACCTTTTTCTCTAACTAGTTTTAGGGGAGAATCTAAAATACATTTTGTTTTTAAAAAGACCATACTTCCTCATCCTGAGTCAACAGCTCCTACCCTACTGACAACAGGTGGTGGGCAATAGGCCAGCTCCCTTCCCCAGGCCTGAACTGGCCTCAATAGAGAGTCCTGGCATCAAGGGCCTGCAGTGTCCTGGAGTAACAGCATCAGGCCTTCAACCAGCATACTGTCTCACATATAGGCACTCAAAAAATCTGCTTCCTGGGCCAGGTGCGGTGGCTCACACCTGTAATGCCAGCACTTTGGGAGACCAAGGCATGTGGATCACCTGAGGTCAGGAGTTAGAGACCAGCCTGGCCAATATGGTGAAACCCCGTCTCTACTAAAAATACAAAATTAGCCAGGCATGGTGGCATGCCCTTGTAGGCCCAGCTACTCGAAAGCCTGAGGCAGAATTGCTTGAGCCCGGGGCAGAGGTTGCAGTGAACTGAGATTGTGCCACTGCACTACAGCCTGGGCAACACAGTGAGACTGTTTGCAAAAAAAAAAAAAAAAAAAAAAAAAACTGCTTCCTGAACCAATGGAAGTATATTATTTCATTTGAAGACATACTGCAAACTTCAGAGCTCTGTAATGGGCCTAAGATCTGGTAAAAGATCCCATTGGGGAGAGAGCTAAAGGCAGGTTTTTTTTTGTTTTGTTTTGTTTTTTTAAGTACCCAACTTGGGCACCTCCTTTGGTAGATAGCAGGCTAGAGTTTCTGCTGGGCCCTGCCCTGGACACCAGTCTCACCAGCAGCAGCACCAGGGTGTCTTTGGTGTGAAGGGTCAGGTTATCACTTTTGGATGTGCTCAGAGCCTTCTGGGGAAAAGGCTGGTTTTAAGATCATACAGACAGGACAGGGTAGGCCAGAATCATTTCAGGCTATAAACAATGGCAGATAAGCCTTCCATACCAGTGTGACTCTTAAAACCTTTCCATCTGGAACCCTGCATTTTCTCTGCCCATGCTGATGTACAGCTCATTTGTGCTTTATCTCTGCACACAATCTGACCTCTAGAGAAGAGTTAGAAATGCAAAGCTGCCTAAACCACTGGGAGACTGGCTTCAAAGGTCACAGAACAGCCAAAGGCTCCTGTTTGGAAAAGGTTCTAGGACCAGAGGACACAAATAGGAAGAGCACTCCACAGCCTAGTAGTTTTTATGATGGCAAGAAATGAAAGTGACCAAGCTAAAACCCCACCGTTCAGAGTCACCTTACATGTAGCCATCTTACCGAGGGTCCTGAGGGAAAAAGCAGTATCAACATGGAGCCAGTATGGAGAAACTGCAATAAGATTACCTAGAAAGTTACCAAAAGGCTATGCTCTGGAATGTCTTTTTATATTCCAACACTTCAATGATGGAATGGTCTCTTCTCATTTTATCTAACAACAGTTTAGTTTTATAAAGAGGTATGAGCTATATTTGGCTTTGTTTCCTATAACTCTATGAAAGTCTCTAGGACACATGCTGACTTTCTGAGGCATAGGTGTAGGCTTGGGATAATGTTTTCTTTTTTTTTTCTTTCTTTTTTTTTTTTTTGCTTCTGGAAGGTCTTATCAAAAGTTCCCATTAAAAAAATTATCATAAAAACTAAAGGGCCCTTCAAATGACCATAAAGTGGTACAAATCACCAATCCTAGCTAAGTAACCAGGTCACCTGCAAAAGCAGCACCTTGGAAATAAAGAGCCTGCTGCATTCACACTCAAAGCACCCATCATATAAAAGTATTCTAGTTAAATATAAAAAGCAAAGCTCATTTCCCCAAAGCTCAAACAGCCTATGCTGCTCCTGTTCTTTTATAAAATCTACCCAAGGCCTGAGGTGGAGGAATGCTGCTTTCCCCACAAATGGTGAGTCCCACTCCTGGTGCCAGACCTGAAGGCTGCAGAGTTGGAAACCCAAGGTCCAAGGAGAGAAACATGCTGAGAAGTTGGTGGTGGACACAAGGCTGCAGTGAGCACTGTTAGAGCCCGTCGGATCTTCCTAAATCCAGGGACTCAGGACTCGGGAGGGGAGCCTGCCTGCTCACTCCTGCTCCTTGGGAAACAGAAATCTGGGACATATCTCTCCCAATTATCTCGTTCACTGAAAAACAAGAAAAGGAAGAGTGATTAGTGACCTATGAATGACTAGCCATATGATGCCCAATGACGAGATCTGCCTCGGATATTTCCCTTCCCCTGGCTTTCTGTAAAGACAAAGGCAGTGTCTGAAGCCTGCTCCTGAGCTGAGTGGCATTAGAGATGGAAACATCACTCCACAAGCTGCTCCGGACCTCTTTTTCTCTCCCTCTCATTCAGTTCATTTTGGGTTAGGAAGGGGGCCTACCTTCACTCTAAAGGTACTTTTAAATAAGTACTCACCTTACTCTAACTTTAATTGGTATCTCTTTAGGAAAGTTTTTATTTTCTGCAATGCCACCTCCTATGTAAACTGAATGAAAATAAATGCTTTGGTTAGAATAAACCACTGTGATATGGGGGCGATTTTGCTACTCTGTCCTAATACAACCACTCTTTATTATATGGGGGCATTTCTATTGTTTGTGATCTTTTCTGATTTCAGGCTCCTTTCTTTTCTGTTAATTTCTCTGATGTGCCAAGCACTTCAGGGAGGCACAGTACGTGGTGAGGTCCAGAGCAAAGAATTTTCATCTTACAGAACTAACATAGAAGGAAACATCCCAAGTTCCCCAAATAAGAACCTTTCGTTCTCACATCATTTCATTTCTTGCCTTATCAACTAAAGGGTCTACACTAATTCCTCTCCTAGTCATATATACAAGAGAAGTGAAAACATATGTCCACATTAAAAACTTTCAAATGTTCACAGCAGCATTATTATTAATAGCTAAAAAGTGGAAACAACCCAGATATCTACCAAGTGATGAATGGATAAATGCTGTCTTTATCCATAAAGTGGAATATTCGGCCTGGAAATGTAATGAAATGCTGATATGTGTTACAACATGGATGAGCTGTGAAAACAATCTGCTGAGTGAAAGAGGCCAGACACAAAAGGTCATATATGATTCCATTTTTATGAAATGTCCAGAACAGGCCAATTCACAGAAATAGAAAATAGATTACAGGTTGTCGAGAGGGAGAAACAAGGAGTGATTACTAATGGATATGGAGTTTATTTTCAGAATAATGAAAATGGAGTTCTAAAATTAGATACTAATAGCCGTGCATAGTGGCTCACACCTGTCATCCTAGCACTTCGGGAGGCCGAGGTGGGCAGATCACTTGAGGTCAGGAGTTCAAAACCAGCTTGACCAACATGAAGAAACCCTGTCTCTACTAAAAATACAAAATTAGCCGGGCATGGTGGTGCATGCCTGTAATCCCAGTTACTTGGGAGGCTGAGACAGAAGAATTGCCTGAACACAGGAGGCGGAGGTTGCAGTGAGCCAAGATCACATCACTGCACTCCAGCCTGGGCAACAAGAGCAAAACGACATCTCAAAAAAAAAAAAAGGAAAAAGAAATAGATACTAGTGATAGTTGCAAAATTCTGACTATACTAAAAACAACTAAGTTGTATACTTTTAAGGATAAATTTTATGGTATGTGAATTACATCTCGTTACAGCTTTTATAAGCAAAAATAGACCAAAACAGTTTTTTATACTTAGAATTTGATGTGATCATAGAGCAAAGGAACACAAACATTTAAAAAAATCTTCCAGGTATTAACATCTAATCTTTTTCTAGTTTACATGGTTAAGAAAAAGAAGTTTTCAAATTCATATGGTTATAAGGAGAAGGGTATTAATATTTACTAATTTAGTTGCTTGAACCCAGGAGGTAGAGGTTGCAATAAGCCAAGATTGCACCACTGCACTCCGACCTGAACATGGGCAACAGAGGGAGGTTCCGTCTCAAAAAAAAAATAAAATAAATTATATATATATGTGTATATATATATATATATAGATATGTATATTTATATGAGTACTGATCATAGTATTGAATGTAGAATAGTAAAGAAGTAGGGTCTAGAGACAGAGCATGTCCTCTCTGTTCACCACAGTCCCACTACTTTTTGGTGCTTTATACCTAAGACTACCTTCCTTCACTGTCCCTGTAGGCATAACAGAGTCTGCCCTGCACACATCTTCTGGGGCAAAGAGCCATTACCCTGGGTAATTCACATCCCTCAGGATATCTGGACACCCCCCTCAGAATGTCCGTCAGTCTCCTCCCTCCCTTCTTCCCCCCCACCGCCCGCCCCGCTTCCTTTCATCAAACAAGTAGGCACCAGAATCTAAAGACACTTGCTTTATCCCTTAAGGAACTGGTGGGTGAAACTGACATGGAAACCATATGCTATGTGGTACGGTTAAGGTGTATGCAGTGTTAAAGCAACTAAATATGGCCTGAGAAGGACTCCGTATTTTTATATTTGAGTCCTTGTGGATGCACTGTAACCTAGCTTAACAGTCAGACAAAATTGAAAACCTTAGTAATATGCATCTGTTATCATACTACTAAACATATATACTAAAGTGTCAGCCAGTCCCAGCAGCCATAGTTCAACCATTCACAGACTGCTAGGTGTTCAAACTGTGTTCAAATGAGGGAAACATGGAGCTGGAACCAATCTCACTGTTTCTGTACCTCACTTTCAATTCCTGTACATCACTTTACCTTTTTTGTCTATAAATTTGTTCTGACCATGAGGCACCCCTGTATTCTCTGTGAATCTGCTGTAATTCTGGGGGCTGCCCAATTCGTGAATCATTCATTGCTCAAATACACTCTTTAAATTAAAAAAAACAAAAACAAAAACAAATAAGTAGGAACTAGAAGCCAAATACGTGCGCGCGCGCGCGCACATACACACACACACACACACACACACACACACACACGTATATTTATTACTAATTTCACAAATATTTACTGAGCATTTATAGTTTAGGCTTTACAACTGAAATTAAATCTTATTTCAATTAATCTTCACAATACTTTAAATATTATTTTACTTTACAGATGAATTAACTGAGGCTCTGACAGGTCACATAATTGGTCTGAAGGTTACATGCTTAGTAAATAGTGGAATCAGCCTCAAAATACTAGTCACATTTTTAGAAGCCAAAATGTAGAGATGCAAGGAAATGACTGAGATAAAGAAAATGCAAAGGAGCTGGACAAAATGTGGTGATACTAGTGGGAGGGAGAGCAAGTGTGATGGTAAGGAGGAGAGAGAAAAGAAGTGGTGATTTACCACCACCAAGGTTTTGAGACTAGGAGAGAAAACAATGATGTAGTCACAACAGGAAAGAAGTTCAGAAGAAGGTGGTAGGTTCGGTCTGGAATTGGAAATTAGAAACCCCAAATGGAAAAATCAGTGGGCATGGTGGGGCTACAATGAATGTTCAGAAGAAGAAGATATTTAGGCATATTCATACTCACTAGAGACCTGGAAGCATGGGGGAAGTTTTGCACAGAAGTTATTTCACTGAAGAATAGAGGCTGAAGATAGTAAGTGGGAGTAGCATTGTGCTCTGATGAGAAGATAGGACCTGGGAAGGCAAATATGTGAGTAGAAGAGTGGCCTAAAAATTAGGTTTGGTTGGAATTTAGGCTCTGCCACTAACTTCATGTTGTGTCATTGGACAAAGTATTTCATATATCTAAAATTCCCTTTATTTATACTATGACAGTGTTGGATTAGTATGATGTCTTTTAGCTGTACTAGTCTATGGTTTTATGTCAGCAGACAATTTTCAAGTGGCAGTACTCAAAGGTATACAAAGAAATAAAGGATGAAGATTTGGCTTGGCAGTGGTCAGTACTGAACGCAGAATAGTAAGTAGGGACTAGAAGCCAAAGGACTCTACAAAACAGTGAAGTTTGATTAATCAATGCTGGCAAGCTAATAATCACTAAGTGATAAGCAACTTTTAAAGGTACAGATTAATAAAGTACTTTGTCAGATGGTTTTTGGTTTTTTTTTTAGATGAAATCTTGCTCTGTCACCCAGGCTAGAGTGCAGTGGTGCAATCTCAGCTCACTGCAACCTCTGCCTCCCAGGTTCAAGTGATTCTCCTGCTTCAGCCTCCTGAGTAGCTGGGATTACAGGCCCCAACCACCGTGCCCAGCTAATTTTTGTATTTTTAGTAGAGACAGGGTTTCATCATCTTGGCCAGGCTGGTCTCGAACTCCTGACCTTGTGATCCACCCACCTTGGCCTCCCAAAGTGCTGGGATTACAGGTGTGAGCCACCATGCCCGGCCTTTTATTTATTCATTTTTTTTGAGATAGGGTCTCACTCTGTTACCCATACTGGAGTTCAGTGGTGCAATCACAGCTCAGACTCATACTCCTGGGCTCAAGCCATCCTCTCACCTCAGCCTCCCAAGTATTTCGTTGGTGCAAAAGTAATTGTGGTTTTGGTATTACTTCTAATGTAAAGAACTGTGATTACTTCTGCACCAACCTAACAGCTGGGACTACAGGCACATACCACTACACCTGGCTGATTTTTAATTTTTTTGGTAGAGATAGGGTCTTGCTATCTTGCCAAAGCTAATCTCTAACTCCTGGCCTCAAGCAATCCTCCCACAGTGTTGGGATTACAGATATGAGCCATTGTGCCTGACCTGATTATATTTAAGTAAATTTGCCAGGCTAGGATTTACTGACCATTCATAATGGATGTTGCAAAGAATAATGGAATATAAACTAAATCCCGACTCTAAAAATAACTCACTGGAATAGTTTCTTTGTAAATGAAAAGTGAGGATGCTTTGCATAAGAATATATTTTTCTCTTCAGTTTCCTCATCAGTATAATGGAGAGGAAAAATACTTCTTATATAGTACATACAGAGAGGGAATATAAAGGGGCATAGGCAAGGCAGGCCTTGGCACCTGTTATTTCAAGCCACAAAAAATACAAGGAACAGTGTTTTCTGTGTAGATTCTGGGGGTTCTACAGGCTAGTCTTGTGCTAAGAGGGAGCACAAGGATGGTCCACAAATCTCTGTGCATTGACAGAATTCTAACATTCTTTCTCATCAGATTATCACTAGGCATCAACATTATCTGTCTCCCCAACAGGCTATGAGCTCCCAGAA